ACCATGGACTGCTAGGAAAACAAACAGATTCATCCTGGAAAGGGTTAAACCAGGTGGCTCCTTGGAGGTAAGGATTCTGAGGCTCCGTCTAACATACTTTGGACATGTTGTGAGGAGAGACTGGTCCTTGGAGAAGGACATCATGCTTGGGAGGGTGGAGGGACAGTGCAGGAGGGGAAGGCCCTCTATGAGGTGGATTGATTAAGTGACTGGGATAATCAGGATGGGAGCGTCAGAGACAGTGCGATTGTCACAGGACAGAGCAGAGTTTAGTAGGGTCGCTATGAGTTGCAAGCGACTCGATAGCACATAACAACAACAACAACAACAACAACAACGCATCTCCTTATTTCCTGACTGTGGTACCAGGGGTATTAATTGTGGCTCCAAGCAAGATGAAGCTGTTGACAGTTTCAATCTCCTCTCCATCCATCATGACACTGCCTGTTGGACCAGTGGTAAAAATCTGTTGGTTTTTTTTTTTGGTGGTGGGGGTTTTTTTTTTCATATTGAGACACAATTCATACTGAAAGCTGCATTCCTTGATCTTCTGCAACAAGTACTTCAGATCCTCTTCACTTTCAGCAAGTAAAGTTGTGTCATCTGCAGTCAAGAAGTATGCACATCAGGTTTGTATAGTTTTTCTATACCTATTTAATCTGTATGCTGAGCAAATAATTCGAGAAGCTGGAGTTATGAAAACGATTGTGGCATCAGGATTGGAAGAAGACTCATCGACAACCTGTGTTAGCACTTGAAATGTTTGCTGTAGAAGGTCAGAAACTGCAGTCTTCAATGTGGATTACATCTCAACATCAGGAAGACAAAAGTCTTCACCACTGCGCTGATAGGTAGTATTATGGTATTTGAAGAGAAGATTGAAAATGTCAATGATATTATCCTACTGGTATCCACAGTGAACATGCTTGATATCAGCAGTCCCGATGCATTCAAAGATATTGGGGAATTGGGAAAGTCAGCTGTTAGGGGACCTCTCCAAAGTACTGTAGAGCAGTGACATCAGTTTAGACCAAGTATGCCGCATTCAGACCATTGTTGGTTGTTTTTTTTTCTTTTCTATTACTTGCTGTGTGTCTGAGAGCTAGACATTAATTTGAGTTATGGTGTTGGAGAAGAGTACTGAATATCCTTTGGACTGTAAAAAAGATGTAGAATTATGTATTAGAGGAAGTACAGGCAGAATGCTCCTTAGAGGGAAGGATGGTGAAGCTTTGTGTCACACATTTTGGTCATGTTATTAAGAGTGGCTAATCCCTGGAGAGGGTAATTGTGCTTGGGAAGGTGGAGCATCAACAAAGTACAGGAAGACTTTCAAAAAAATAGAACGACACAGTTACTGCAGCAATGGGCTCAAGTATGTCATAGATGATGAGAATGGTACAGGATAGTACAGGGTCCAGATCTATTGTTCATAGTGTCTCTTTGAGTCTTACTTGACTGACTGGGACCTAACAACAACTCCATTGTCTTGTATTTCTTTTCAAAGTTCCTCTTGGGCTTTACTTGTTGTTATTTGCCATCGAGTCACTTTGGACTCTTGCAATTCCTTGACTTTTTCTTTTTTTCACTCAGTGAAAATACTTGATCATTATTCTTTTGAGTTCTGTGTTAGGAAGTTCCTTAAGACTTTCTGCTTCCAGGAGATCAACTAATTCTGTGTTTTTGATCACTTTTTTGAGGTGATATCTTACTTTGATTTTATGTGGTATTTGAGGTAGTCTGCTGCTTCTGTATTATTGTTGTGATAGAGGTTTTTCTTGCCTGGGATCTTCTCAGGTCTGGGGTCTTATGACTGTAGCTGTGGAGCTCACTGCTTGTGGGAAGCCCACTTGCCCAGCCAGAAGTCCTCGCTGGTCCTGGGGAAGAGGGAGCAGGGCAGGAAGACTTGCTTTGCCTCCACAACTACTGTCTTGATGAACTTCCCATTCTTTCCTGAATCCTGAATGAAGTATATTAAGGTTTAGTTTTTATAAGTTGAGGTGATTCTAAGTATATATATAAATGAAATGAAAAAAATATTTAAAAATACATGTAAGAGGTAGAGAAAATGAACAAAATTAGCACTTATTCAAGCCTGTCTCAAGTCTAAGTGAAAAATTATTCTAAGTTCTTTACTAATTTTCTCATATTTTCTTTTAACACGTTGCCACACACTTATAAATTGACGACTTATATAAGCACTTATAAATGTGCTTAGAAACAAATTTTGCTGTTATTTGCGGCAACGTGTTAAATGTTACTACCCGTGTATGAATCCTAAACAATGTATAGTTTGTTTAGTTTTCTCAAATTTTGAACTTTATATGAACGCTGTCATCCTTATATTCTTTAATGACAACTTGTTTGTTTATTACTGTTTTAAAATTCTTCCATTTTTACTCACTTTTACTGTAGTACAGACAGTCCTTAGATTCTGAACAAATTAATTCTAAAATCAATCTTTATATTGAATTAATATATATATTGAAAAGTTAGGTACAGTTTATATCTAAAGTCCCTTTGTCAAAAATTTATCTTAGTGTATAGTAGTCAGTGCACCTTTCTATACATAAAAAGGTAACACTTGCAGATCCACTAAAACATCTTTAGGATAATAATATCACAACAAGATAAAGGTAAATAATCCAATTCAAGAAAGGGCACAGGATATGAACAGACACTTCACCAAAGAAGACATTCAGATGGCCAACAAACACGTGAAGAAATGTTCAAAATCCCTAGCTCTAAGAGACATGCAAATCAAAACAACTATGAGATATCACCTCAACTCCAGTAAGAATAGCAAAATTTAACAGAACAGCAAGCAGCAAATGCTCGTGAGGTTGTGGAGAGACTGGAGCCCTTATTGGTGGAAGTGTAAAATGGTGCAACCACTGTGGAAGTGGTGTGGCGCTTTCTCAAAAAGTTGCAAATAGAGATAGCTTTTGATCCAGCAATTCCACTACTGGGAATATACCCTAAAGAGACCATAACTGCCATCTAAGCAGATAGATGCACACCCATGTTTATCGCGGCTTTGTTCACAGTAGCAAGGAGTTGGAAACAACCTGAGTGCCCATCAATAAACGAATGGATAGAGAAGCTGTGGTATATTCACACAATGGGATACTACGCTGCATTGAAAAAGAAGGAACTCATGCAGTATTATTCAAAATGGCTGATCCTGGAGGACGTTATGTTGAGTAAAATATCTCAGTCACAAAAAGACAAATACTACATAGTGCCACTGTTGTAGAATGGGACTGACATCAGGGTTTGGATAGATTATGTATACTGAATTGAAACAGATGAGGGAGAGAACAGTTTAAAAGAAATATATGATAGGGTATTATGGTTATCACAGGAATCCAGAATTAAGGTTGCATAGTGGAGGGCATTCAGGACAGGGGGGATTGTATACCAAGAAGGAGTTTATCTTTTGCTTTTTGAAGAGAGGAGTGAACGTGAAGGGGGGTGGGTGTTAGAGAAAAAAGTATAACAATGAATGAATGGAAATCCAAAATCTCTGTAAATGTTCACTAAATTAATAAAATAAAATTAAAAAAGATAATATATTAATTATAACAGTGCTTTGATGTTCATGGAAAAGTAGCAACTGTTAGTATGATTGTATAGTTCTTATCTTGGATCTTACTAGTTTACTATTTGACTTAGCATGTTATTTTTTTCAAAAATTATATACTTGATATCTCATAGTTGTTTTGATTTGCATCTCTCTTAGACCTAGGGATTTTGAACATTTCTTCATGTGCTTTTTAGCCATCTGAATGTCTTTGGTGAAGTGACTGTTCATATCCTGTGCCCATTTTTCAATTGAGTTGTTTCCCTTTATCTTGTTGTGGTGCTCGAGTATTTTATAAATTCTAGATATAAGTCCCTTATCTGATATGTCATTACCAAATACTTTTTCCCAGTCTGTGGCTTCCATCTTTACCCTGTTGGAGAAGTTTTGGGTGTGCATAGAATTTTTCTTTTACTTTTCAAAACGAAGGCTGCATAGTAGAGTGGACTTTGAGGAAGGAATTGTATAGCAATGAATGAATTTTACTTTTCAAAGAGAAGAGTGGGGGGGGAGGTTGGGCAGGGAGAAAAGGGCAACAATGAGTGAATGGAAATCCAAAGTCTCTGTAAACTTTCATTAAAATTAATAAAAATTAGAAAAAGGAAAAAATAAATACTTGAGAAATTTGATACACCATTTTCTATTAATGCATTCTTATGCAGCATGGTTAACTTTCTTAGAAAAGACTGCTTTTATATGAATATTTGTTTCATTTATAATCTGTTAATGTACTATGATTGTCCTCTACTCTTTTGTCCCTTCCAATATAATGCATAGAATAACTAAGTATAATAAATGTCAACTAGCTGGGGAACTTTGGTGACACAGTCCATTGGGAGTTGCATTGCTAATATAAAGGCCATGTAACTTTGAAGTTAGAATCTACCAGCAGTAAATTGAGAGCAATGTGGGCAGACACTCCTCCCATGTGATTTACAGTAGTAGAAATTCAATGGAGACACAACTTTGAGTTTGTTTCTGCTTAATGGCAGAGATTAAGGTGTTTTGGGGATTTGTTTGTTTGTTTTAAACTAATTAACAAGTGTTTACATTGGTTTCTTACTCTAGTTATTAGAAAATTGAGCAGAAATTCAGAGCAATATCTTATTTTTTTATATGTTGTTTTGACATTTACAGCGTTAATTGTAACAAGTCTCCTAAGACCAAACTTTGCTATTTTACTAAACTGGTTGGCCCAGATCTTTGATGGAAAGTAATTTTTCTTGTTTTATTTTTTAATGTTTTGAACAGGATAATATTGAGTAAAATATAAAGTCTTTAGATTATATTTTTACATACTTAAAAATTTTAGACTAACATAAATAATGGCTTTTATCAAGAAGAACAAAAAAGAAATAAAAATGGAATTAATGAAAACTTTTAGAAATGGAAATAAATTTTTGACTTGACATTTCAGAATTTGACTGAAAAATTACTGAAGAAAGAACTTGACTACACACAATTGGAGGAGAAATATAATGAAGAATCTGTGAGTAAAAAGAATGTACAGGCAAGCCTTCATCAAAAAGATCTAGATTGCCAGCAGCTTCAGTCAAGATTATCTGTCTCTGAAACTTCACTACAGAGAATACAGGCTGAACTTGGAGAAAAAGGAGAAGCTACCCAAAAACTTAAAGAAGAATTATCAGAAGTCGAGACCAAGTACCAGCATCTGAAGGCAGAGTTTAAACAGCTCCAACAGCAGAGAGAAGAAAAGGAGCAGCACGGGCTACAACTGCAGAGTGAGATTAATCAAGTAAGAGACCTTTCATTTGGTTTCATTCTCCCTGTGGTTTCTGTTTAGTGATAGTTATTTGATCCAGTTTGGTGATTATTTGATCCAATTGTTAAGGTTGATTTGAAAAAAGTAAAAAAGGCTGTCATTGTTTTGAACTAGCTCTTCATTGTTACACACTTGAGAGCTCAGTCAGAGCTCATTTTCTTTAATTTGGTTTTTCCTGGTTTGTTAAATGAGGGGGGAAATGGTAGTATCTCCTTCACACCTTCTATTGAATTTGTTGTATCATCAAGTCAGAACTGTCTCACACACGGCTGACCCTCCAGCGGGTTTTCAGAGGCAGTAAATCACATGGGAGGAGACTGCTCACCTTTCTCCTGTGGAGCAGCTCGTGGAGTATTAGCTTTTTATACTTACTATGAATTAAATTAGCTTTTGTAATTAATTCAAATTGACTACTGTCCTTTAATTGTAAAATTCATACTGTTTTGGTTTGTTACTAAATTTGAAAAATAGTTATTTTAAAACCCATGCTATTATTAAAAAATTTAGATATTTTAAAAGAAGAAAACAAGTTATTCCCAACATTTTAAAAGGTAAATAATATATTTTGGAATATAAATGTCTTTTTTTTCTTATGTCTTATTCTTGTAGATAGGGAGCTCTGGTGGCCTAGTGGTAAGAAGCTCTACTATTATGCCAAAGGCAAGCAGTTCAAAGCCACTAGCTGCTCCATGGGAGGATGGGCAGTCTCCTCTCATGTGATTAACTGCCTCTGAATACCTACTGGAGAATCAGCTATGAGTCAGTTCCAACTCAATTGTATTTAACAACAACTACAACATTCTTATAGATAAATAATACCTAGAGAAGGAGCCCTGGTGGTGTCCTTGTCCACCTGAATGTCCACTAGCTTCAGCGGCAATTAATCACCCAACTGCCCATCCTTCTCCCATGGAGCAGCTAGTAGCCTTAAACACCTTCAGGATTGCAGCACAGCTTCTTGCCTCTAGCCACCAGAGCTCCTCCTGTGGAGACTGCAGCCGTGGAAGCCCTCTGGGCCACATGGACTCTTTTCTTTTTGGCTTCTGTGAATCAGAATTGAGTCAGCAGCAGTGAGTTTGGTTTAATGTCTATCAGCTGACATTTTTACTTCATCAGTTATCTAATATTTTAATTTTTATATTATTACTTATGGATAACATTCATAATTAGTTCAATCATGAAAATTTGAAGGACATAAAAGTTTTTACCAATTTTTTTAAAATGGAATTTTATTTATCGACAGTTCTCAGATTATGAAAATATTCCATTCCTAAATCTGTTTTGAGTTTAATTTATACCTAACTCAGAACTTAAGTTCAGTTTCAGTTTGTATCTAACATTTGTTAGTCAAATGTTTGTTAATATAAATTTTGTTATGTAGTTTTCTATGTATGGGAAAAGAAACTATAAACCACTTCCAGATACACTAAAACATCTTTAACATCTTACTATAGTAATCATAATGTTTTGGTGCCTTTTAACAAAGTAATTGCTTGTTATTTATGAATGATTGTTTTTAACAATGGGCTTTACTTAAATCAGACATTAATAATCCCAAAACTGTCTATGTTTTGTTATTGTTGAGAATAAACAAAGCGAAACACAATTCAGTTGTTTCCACATGTAACATGTAGACAATGATTACATACTTCTGGGGTGTTTAACCATTCTCCCTCTCATTTTCTGAGTCGTTCCTTTTCTGTTAACATAAATTCAGAGATCCTTAACTTTCTTGTATAGTCTCTTAAGGCGCTGTTATCAACTGGATCCCTTATAGAGGTGGTTCTTAAAAGAGCATAGTACTCAAAATGTAAACTCATTTCCGTTGAGTTGTAGCTGACCCATACCTGACCCTCCAGCAGGTTTTCAGAAGCTGTTGATTGCATGGGAGGTGGCTCATCTTTCTCCCTCGGAGCAGCTGATGGATTCCAACTACTCTCAGAAGTGCTCCAGTTTTATTATGCTATAATACACATTATGCTGTTAACCTGCTTGAAAGTGATAAAGTGTTGAAATAATGTTTTGCATTAACCTTCTATAATTCAAAAGATAATAATAATGATTCTCTATTTTGATGTAAATAGTTAAGAGTCAAACTCAATCTAGCTTGAGAGAAAAGGTGAATTTATGCCCCTCAGGCAGGCTAGATTCAGTCACAATGTTGAAAAATTCCTCATTTTCTTACCTTTCTGTCTTCTTCAGTTTTGACTGCCCTTATTTTGCTTTTGGATATTGTTTTCCACTTCTTCAGTCTCTCTTTCTGTCATCCGCTTCTCTTCATTGAGTTCAGTAGTTGACCCCCCACAGGGTTTTCAGAGGCAGTAAATAGCACGGAAGATTGCCTATTCTTTTCTCATGCTGCTTCAGTTGTTGTTACATACAGTCCCCTAAGGTACCAGATACACATTCTTACTATAAAATATATCTTAAAATACGTTGTTGCTGCTTTTAAGTGCCATTGAGTTAAGTATAGTGACCTTATGAACAGACGATCTGAACCCTGCCCTTTCCTGTGCCACCCTCATCATCTCTGATATACCCATTGCTGAAGTCATCATGTCAATCCATTTCTTTGGAGGTCTTCCTTTCCTTCACTGACCCTCCATCTCCCAAGCATTGTGTCCCTTTCCAAGGAATATCCTTGCCTAGCTACATGTCTAGTGGTAAAAATCTTTGTTTTCTTGATATTGAGACACATACATACTTAAGGCTGCATTCCTTGATCTTCTACAAAAAGTGCTTCAAATCATCCTCATTTTCAGCAAGCAAGGTATGTCATCTGCATAATTCAGGTTATTGATGAGTCTCCCTCCAATCCTGATGCCTCACTCCTCTTCATAGAGTCCAGCTTCTCAGATAATTTGCTCAGCATATAGATAGTCAATGTGTGCAGGATGAAATCCCTAATTTTATAATATCTTTCTTATGGAATGCCTAAAGCTTTGTTACTAATCTTCTAGAAAAATAGGAGTTAAGGATGTGATCTTTTTTGATGATTAAGGTCAAGAAATGGTCCTTGATGAAATATTTTAGATTGGCATACTTTTCAGAAATACAGAGGAAATAAAATGTACAAGTCAATCAGTGAATTCTAAAAGAACCCAGGAGGACAGAAACCTCTTCTTCTGTTTTTAACAGGAAGAATTAATTTCTCTTATTTTTAATTTGCAAATGCATGGGTGCTACTCAGTGTTCATCACTGTAAACCATCCAACAATTGAAGCAAGTTCTAGAGATCTGCTCCTGTAATGATAACAGCCTAGAAAACCCCCATATGTGCCAGTTATACTCTATCACATGGGGCGTCCATGTCAAATTCACAACTGAACACCATCAAATAATATAATTTTTAATTTCCATTTGTCCTTACTGAGGTGACTAAATGAAAGCATCATTGCAAACTCATTTTTCATCTAAATAGCTATTAAACTGTAGAAACCTCCAGCTCTTGAACTGTGCTATTGATTCGCAGTTGCGTGCAATGAGATTATTAGGAGAGCTTGAAGCATGTCCTCTTGAGCAGTAGGGACATACATGAACAAAGGAACTGAAGACTGCCAAGCCTCTTGCAGAGAAGTCTCTACAAATGGAACATGGATAACTGGGAACCATTCAGCTTTGATTTCATGGCAAAGGAGACCGCTGTGTATGGCGGCAATTTGATATACTCCTGCCATTCTTGACTTTTCTTCTTCCTCTGGTCCAGGCAGGTAGCAATGAATTGTTATTGACTCTTGAAGGGCTACTTGCAAGTTGTTAAGATCTTTGCTTCTACACAATAAACAACGAAGGGGAACAGAAACACTAGACTTTATTGGACCTATAACTGAGATGTCCCGTGAAACCATGAATCTGAACTGCAAAACCAAGAAAATAAATCCCATGAGGTTCTGTTTATGCATGAGAGACTTTAGAAGCTAATCTGTGTATGTGTATCAGTGCTGTTGTTTTAAGTATATCTATCATACAACTTTTTCCATTTTTTTTATGAACATCTAACTTATTGACAGCAAAGATAATAAGTGGCTCAGTAATTCTATCCTTAGTGAATTAACTATTACCATGAACTTGATTTTCTTTCCCTTTCCTTTACATGCTAGGTAGCCACTAATAAATTTATATTTTAAACTCTTTAAACTTGAATGTTTTTGTTGTTTTTTTTTAATGTCAGTGAGATCATACAGCAAGATAATATCCTTTAAAATATTTAATATTTATTTTCTTTTTGTAAACTTATATCTCTTAACATATCTTTCATTTTGGTCTTGTAACATGTATCAAGAATTGATAGTTACAGTAAAGCGGTGAAAAAAAATAAATAGTAGCTGCTGAAGTTTCTTGTGTATGAATGAAAACATGGAATTTTTTAGTTTTCTGGTTTAGTAGTTTTGGGTCATGGCTATGGATGTAAGAAATACAGAGATTTTGAAGATGATATGGATCAAAAGAGTTTTGATCTTTCGTACTTAGGGTTACTATGAGTCTGAACAAATACCCTGGTGCCCATAACAGCAGCAGTCAAAACTTCATTTCTCCTGCTGATTGTATAGTTTTCCATTGTATGCATATGCCATATTTTGCTTATGCCTTTGCTTATTGATATACACTTTTAGCGTGTTTCTACTTTTTGGCTATTATCTATCATGCTACAAGTAAATACTGTTGTTGTTGCTGTTATGTGCCGTTGAGTCGCTTGTGACTCATAGTGACCCTATGTACAACAGCCTTAAATCCTTCTCTGTCCTGTGCCAGTCAGTCACACTGCCTCTGACGCACTCATCTCGATTACCCCAGCCACTGAATCAATCCACCTCATAGAGGGTCTTTCCCTCTTGCGCCGTCCCTCCACCCTCCAAAGCATGATGTCCCTCTCCAAGGACCGATCCCTCCTTACAAGATGCCCATAGTATGTCAGACGAAGTCCCAGAATCCTAGCCTCCAAGGAGCAGCCTGGTTTAACCCTCTCCAGGATGAAGCTGTTTGTTTTCTTGGCAGTCCATGGTACATTCTATACTCTTCTCCAGCACCACAGCTCAAAGGCATCAATTCTCCTTCTATCCTTCCTGGTCATTGTCCAACTCTCTGATGCATAACAAGGGATTGCAAAGACCATAACTTGTATATCAGATGCACCTTAGTCTCCAGAGTGACACCATTGCTCTTCAGCACTTTGGAGAAGTCCCTAACAGCAGACTTTCCCATTGCAATACGTATTTTGATTTCCTGGCTACTGATGCCAAGAGTGTTGACTGTGGAGCCAAGCAGACTAAAGTTGTTAAAAATCTTAATCTCTTCACCATCCATCCTGATGCTGTCAATTGGTCCAGTGGTGAGAATCTGTGCCTTCTTGACATTGAGCCTCAGTCCATACTGAAGTCTGCAGTCCTTGACCCTCTGCAGCAAGCATTTCAGGTCCTCCTCAGTTTCAGCGAGCAGGGTTATGTCATCTGCATAACGCAGATTGTTAATAGATCTTCCACCAATCCTGACGCCACACTTCTCCTCATAGAGCCCAGCCTCTTGGATAATCTGTTCTGCATACATGTTGAAAAGTATGGAGATAGGACACATGCCCTGCATACACCTTTCCCAATTTTGAACCGTGCTTCTATAATGTTGTACAACTCTGTTTGTCTATGCTGGACAATGAGAAAGGATGACAGAAGAAGAATCAATTCGAGTTGTGGTGCTGAAGAAGAATCTTGACCATGGACTGCCAAGAAAACAACTAGATCTGTCTTGGAGAGGGTGAAACCAAGTTTCTCCTTGGAGGTTAGGATTTTCAAACTCTGGCTCACAAACATTGAGCACATGTCCAGAGAGACCAGTCCTTGGAGAAGGACATCATACTTGGAAGGGTAGAGGAACAGTGAAGGAGAGGAAGATCCTGTATAAGATGGATTGATACAGTAACTGTGATGATGAGGGTTGATGCTTCGGAATTAGTGAGACTGGCTCAGGACAAGACAGGGCAGGCTTCAGAGCTGCTATACATACGGTCACTGTGAGTCACAAGCAACTTGATGGCACATAACAACAACAACAAAGTCTTTTGCATATGTGTGAACTTACAAGGAGAATTTCTGGGTCATATGGTAGTTCTGAGATTTTTGAGGATTCATGATTAAAGCTCAACATCAAGAAAACAAAGATTCTCAGTACTGGGCAGATTGATAGCATCTTGAGAAATGGTGAAGAGATTGAAATTGTTAACAGCTTTAGTTTGCTTGACTCCACAGTCAACATTCTTGACACCAGCATCCAGGAAATTAAAAGACATGTTGCGATGGGAAAGTCTGCTGTCAGAGACCTTTCCAGAGGCCTGAAGAGCAACAGTGTCAGGCTGGAGACCAAGGTGCACCTGATACAGGCCATGGTCTTCATAATCACTTGCTATGCATCTGAGAGCTGGACAATGACTAGGGATGATAGAAGCAGAGTTGATGTCTTTTAGTTGTGGTGCTGGAGAAGAGTATTGAATATACCATGGACTGCTAGGAGAACAAAGTTTCATCATGGAGAGGATGAAACCAGGCTGCTCCTTGGAGGCAAAGATTCTGAAGCTCCATCTGACATACTTTAAGAATGTTGCAAGGAGGGACCAGTTCTTGGAGAGGAACATCATATTTGGGAGGGTAGAGGGGTAGTGTAGAGGAAGGTACCTTGGATGAGATGGATTGACTCAGTGACTGGGGTAATGGGGATAGTTGTGTCAGAGGCAATAAGATTGGCTCACGATAGAGCAGGGTTCAGAGCCGTTGTACATATGGTTGCTATGAATTGCAAGTTACTCAATGGCACATACTAATAGAACAATAATATAAGCTATAAATTACATATAATATATTTTATAAGTATGTAATTTATATAATGCATGATGGTGTGAGTGATAACATACTATGCATATGTATACAAAGAAGACTAGTTAATACAATACAACTGTTAACTGATATCTAAAAGGAAAAAAAAGAAGAGATTCAGGAATTCTATCAGCTTTTGCAGTCTGAAATTGACCACATATGCAGTCAAGATTTATTAATAATAATTGGTGACTGGAGTGCAAATGTTGGAAACAAAAAGATTGGTAGTTGGAAATTATGGACTTGGGGAGAGAAATGAAGCTGGAGACCAAATGATTAATTTTGTACATTTGATTTATCCATAGCAATTTTTTTAAAGACACACAGAAGGCATCTGTACACATGGACTTGACAGAATGGACTACATAGGAATAAGATGGGTTACATTTGTGGAAAGATTCTGTAGAGAAGTTTAGTATTAGCAGTCTAAACTGGACTAGATGCTGACTGTAAAATAGACCATTGATTTCTTTAAGAAAATGAAAGCAAATTGAGAGAGCCAAAATATGACCTTGTGTCTATTCCACCTGAATTTCAAAATAATCTCAAGAATAGTTGTGAGGCATTGAAAGCTAAGGATAGAAGATCAGATGAATTGTGGGATGACATTAAAGATATTCATGCAGAGAGCAAAAGGTCATCACAAAGATAAAAGAGGAAGAAAAGACCAAAATAAATGTCAAAAGAAACTCTGAAAATTGCAGCAGACCATTGGGAATCCAAAACAAAAGGGAAAGATGCAGAATTTTAAAAATTGAACTGAAGATTTCAAAAGGCAGCATTAGGAGACAAAGCAAAATATTAGATTGGATGTACAAAAACCTAGAATTGGAGAATAAAAGAGAAAGAACTTGTTCAACATTTTCATTTCGAAAGAACTGAGTTGGAAAGGACCCATAGCTGACCCTCCAGCAGGTTTTCTGCGGCAATAAATCTCACAGGATGAGCTTGCCCATCCTTCTTCCTTAGAGCAGTTGGTGGATTTGAAGTCTATACCTTTGCTTTGGCGGTAACTTTGAACTGCTTCTACTCTTAAATTTGAGACTTAGTTTTTTCTTAAAAGATTAATAAGAGTTTACCAAGAATTATAGAATAATGTCTTAAAAAATATGTCTTAAAGAAATTTGCTATGAATAAATCAAATGTACAAAATTAATCATTTGGTCTCCAGCTTCATTTCTCTCCCCAAGTCCATAATTTCCAACTACCAATCTTTGCACTCCAGTTACCAATTATAGAATGCCATTTTTTTTGTAATAAACGTCTTTCTGCCACTATCCTTGTTTAGTAAAGCTTCCCTTCAGAACTGTCACTGTCTTTAAATCACTAGCTCTAAACTCACCATTCATTATAAAAAAACCAAAAGCAACTCAACAACCTTAATATAATAAAAGCTTTTTTTTGGAGCAAAATAATTATATAAAGTCTTAGTTTACTAAAAGAATAGTGAAAATGAGCACCTTTTGCTTATTTTAGGGAAAAACAAAATATTTGGAAAATAGGTAGTTCTACAAATAGTGGTAGGATGTGTATTTAAACATATGTGTATATGTTTTAAGTTACACAGCAAACTTCTGGAGGCAGAACGCCAACTAGGGGAAGCTCACGGTCGGCTGAAGGAGCAGAGACAGCTTTCAAGTGAAAAATTGATGGATAAAGAACAACAAGTGGCAGATTTGCAGCTGAAACTTTCTCGTCTAGAAGAACAGGTAAACGAGTGTTTCAAATGGTTTAAATTACACATTTGTTAATAATACATTTCAGAAGTTTTAAACATTGTCAAGAACTTAATGGGACATTTTTTTTTAACTTTTAATTGCAGAATTATATTTTCCCAGTGAAAATATCCCACTTCTTATTTACGTAAAGTTTTTTGTCATGATCACTTTCTTCAGAGTTCGTAGTACAAACATTCAAAGACAACTGTCCATTCACTTTCAAGCAGGAAACATTCTAAGGGTCATTCTCTGTTAGACTGCTGCAGGGAATCTTTCTACTCAGGAACAATCACTGACTGTAATGAAACAGTGAACTTGAACAATTAGTTAAAATCAGTAATCATGTAGGTGATACATAGAAACTTTGGGTTTGCATTCAAGATTTTTTCATTTTAAAAATGAAGCATACAGTTGAATATTATTTAAAGTAAGATTAGATTAACATATTACCCATAATATGTTAAAATCAGAGTTATTATTGCATTATGTCTTTAATAAAATTTGACAAATGTTTAGAATTAAAATCTCTGTCTTCAGCCATGCATTTTATTTTTTATCCAAAATCTTAGATGTTGTAGAGATTCCAATTTTTTTTTCTAATAAGTGATAATTAAGGTTTCTTTGAAAACAGAAAAAATTACTAATAATGCAGATTATTGGTAGAAAAAAATTTTATATAGTTAAATACTTGTATATATTTATATAAAAAACCAATAATAAAATAAAGGCAAACCTGGAAAAGAATTTTCAGAATGATAATCTATTTTTAGTTTCCTCATCATGAGATTAAGATTCTGTTTCTTATGGTTGCTTTTGAAAGTTCATCTTCTACATTGTCTGAATTTAGTTTTTGTTTCCGACTTGAGAATTGTGAGATTTGAAATAATACAGAATTTTTACATATGATAGCATTATGCCTTTCAACTATCAACTTATAGTCTCTCTAAATTTTTTTTTTTCAGTTGAAGGAAAAAGTTACAAATTTCACAGAATTACAGCATCAGCTAGAGAAAACAAAGCAACAGCATCAAGAACAACAAGCTCTTCAACAAAATACTACTGCAAAACTCCGGGAAGCCCAGGTAAACGTTATTCCAGTTACTAGTCTTTCAAACAAAAGTAAATCATTTTATAAGAGCAATTGTTGTGAAGAAGATGGTGGGAAAGTCTGATTGGAGAAAGTTCAAGACAGAAGGAGAAGACAGAAGTTTGATAGAGTGAACAGATAAATTTCTAGGAGTTTAACAATAAAAGGTATTAAATAAGCATTAAAGGTAGGAGGAAGAATTTGCATAGGCAAATAGTGCGTGTTTAAATATTGCACCCGAGAATTCAATTTAGCCATTCAGCTGCAGTCAATACTTGAAAATTTTAATACTTGACCTTCTTATAGGCAGATTGTCTCTCACAAGGGATTATGTGGAATATGCCTAGTTTGTTAGTCTAAAATTTCCAGTCATTTAACTTTTAATTCTCGAAAGCAATAAGAAAAAAATGGGAAAATGTCTTGGTAAATTCTGTCAACATAAAAACAAGAGAGGTTTTAAAAATATTAAAGAGATATAATGAGTATTTTCTTGTATATGTATGTATATATAAAATTACTATGGTCACATACAGGACAGTTACCTAACTCAGACAGCATGTGGAGAATGGCACTTACAGAAGACTACTTAGAAGTAACAATCAGGGTTGCCAAGGTTTTATAGATGTTCTTGGAGTGCAGAGATGGTATCAATGAGGATAGTACTCCATGTAGCAATTATAAGAATAAATATCCTATATTTAGTACATACTAAGCTTGTAAGTTTTATTAGAAATTAAAGTATAAGTGAGAGCTAGAAGGATATTGAGATGTCTTTGATATCAAAGAACAGAAGTGAGGTCATAAAAAAGCTGGAAGATGGTTAGGGACGTTGTCATAGACTGGGATGGTTGAGATTTTTCAGGTGGAATAATATTAGATGATTATAAGATCCTCTTAGTGAGTGAGTACAACATAGAATGAGTGGAATGGTGTCCAGTAGTTAATATCAGTGATGAGGCTATACTTTTAATTTCCTATGTATTTTGAATCTTTCAGGAAATTGGCAGAAATTGGGATTGAGAGAAAGACTAAATCAGGTCTCAAGTCTTCAGAGAATGAGGTAGGGATTTAGATGATAGCTATAAAGAGTAGAGCATACTTCCAAAGCAGCATGGAGCTTTTAAACAAGGGAGAGCAAATACCAGTGGAAAGCCAGAAAAAGGCCAGCCTTCCTGAATTGTAGGGTACAGTGGTCTTAACTGCTTAGGGAGAATTGTGAACAAATTAGCATCAGTAAAGAGAGAACCAGATTTTAATTAAGATTGGAAATAGAATAACCATTCTTGGAAAAAATATAGTCCCTGAATTGTGGTTTCAGAAGATATTTTGAATGTGGAGAATAAGAATCTTTAATAGTATGGACACAAATCATTGAAAGTCTCAGGTTTTTCTGACTTTGTCTTGGTAAGATGATAAGGGTTGCTATAAGGTTTACAGAGGGGCTGACCAATGCTTTGATCTGTACAGGGGCTTTTTTGAAAATGATAAGGGTAGAGGCATAGGACGAGATGTCAGCACCAAAAAAGTTGATGAACCTTTTTCTAGGTGTGGGCTGTTTCATTGTGCAGGGTGTAACATTAAGGTACTTGATTAAAATAAGAGGTATCCTTTATAATGATGGATTTATGGAAGAATGCTATTAGGGTGTTGGAATGAGTTTATGTATGTGTGTTATAATGCAGTCATTTATTTTTGTTTAGTAAGCAGTTATTTGAGAGGATATGTATCGGTCATCGTGTATTCATCACTGAATAAAACAAACAAAAGGCTCCATAAAATGGAGCTTATTTCCAGAGAAATATAAAAAATAAGGAAATAACTAATACCAAACATGCTACATTAGTGCAACGGAAAAGAAATAATAATAAGGATGAGGATTTTTAACGTTTGTCATTTAACATATAGTCGTCATATAGTAAGCGTGATTGAAAAGGTGATATTTGACTGAACATTTGAAGGAGTGCAAGTGAGCCTTTTAATTACATGAGGAAGAGGTTCCAGGCAGAGGTGGAATTAGTGTAAAGGCTGTAAGGTGGGAATGTGCCTCGTGTGATAAAGGATATAAGAAGTCCTTTGTGGAGGGTTAGAGAAAGAGAGGAAGGCCTTCTACAAGATGGGCTCGAGCATATCAAAAGTGGTTAGGCTGGTGCAGGAAAGTACAAGGTTCAGATCTGTTGTTCATATACAGTTGCTATATGTTGTAGTTACTTGATGAAACCTAACAACAATTACCTGAAGTGAATTAAACAAGAAAATAGTAGAGATGAGGTTAGAATGTTTTAATAACTGTGTTTTACTGAAGGCTTCTTGTTGTTGTAAAATTTCAATTTATTAGTAACAATATAGATTTTTAAAACATATTTTTATTGGTTTTCACATAATTCCTTTGCATTTTGTATCATTCCCATACACTGTGTTTTACACAATCTTTTATTTACACTATGTTTTGTACAATCATTCGTATACATCCTACTTTATATTATTTTTTTAAATTGGTTTGCTTACAGGGTTTATATTCATTGTGTTTAACAGTATTCTTCATTCACATTGTGTTTCATCATAATCATTCTTATTCATTATCTCTTACTAAATTGTCTCCATTGGACTTTGCCCATCTCTATTGGACTTTTCACCCAGATCCTTCTCATTTGTTTCCACCCCCCTCCACCCACCAAACTGTGCAGTCCATGAATTAATGGGTGAAGTCAGGTAGGGGTGGAACTATAGATTTGTTTTAAGTAGAGCTTTAATTATATAATTGGCTTAGCTATGGGAAAATATAATAGCTTAAAGAATGTAATAACCTGACTCATAAATTTATTACTGATCACTGAAAGTTTAAGAAATTACTTTTTAAGTTTGCAATCTGTAAGATAATAGTTTTTATTCTTTACAGAATGATTTGGAACAAGTGCTACGTCAGATTGGCGATAAGGACCAAAAGATCCAGAATCTTGAAGCTTTATTACAAAAGAGTAAAGAGAATATTTCCTTACTAGAAAAAGAAAGAGAAGATCTTTATGCAAAAATTCAGGCTGGTGAAGGAGAGACGGCTGTTCTTAACCAGTTACAAGAAAAAAACCATACATTACAGGAACAAGTAAGATTGTAAATGCATCAAAATTATAAAATTTCTTTTTATCTATATTTTTATAGCATATTTTAAGTAAAGAGTTCATTCTGTTTATTTTCAATTAAAATATATGTCTGAAATTATGAAAAGAATTTTTTAAAATTCTGGGGGGAAAACCTCACAGTTTTGCCTTTTTAATAATTTTCAACTATTCTCAGTGGTGTTAATTATATTAACAATGCTGTCCAGTCATCACTGTATTTATTTCCCAAATTTTCCTCACTTTAAACAAAAATTCTATATTTAAAAAATATTTTCAGTTTTTTATGAATACCATCTAGCTCATTTATGTTACAGATGAATTCCTACTGTAGTGAAAGTAAAATCAGCATGATTTTGCAAAAGAAAATCTACAATTTATGTTTCAGGATATAACTTATTACCTTTGTGATTATAGGCAACTTATTTCACCCTATTCGCACATTTGATAAGTAGAGATATTAGTATGTTTAATTGCCTTTGCTGTCAGGAGGGACAAGTCTTTGGAAAAAGACATCTTGCTTGGGAAATTAGAAGGTAAAGAAAGGGGAGGATGACACCCCCCCCCCCATGAGATGGACTTGATACTGTGACACTAAGTAAGTCTTGAGCATGGCAAGGGATCATGAAGATAGCACAGGACAGGACAGGGTTCAGATCTATTCATAGTGTCCCCATGAGTCAGAGTTGACTCAAGAGTAGCGGACGACAGCAGTAGTTTCTTACTGGGGGTATAGTCCATACAGAGGTGCACTGCGTACCCAAAGGCAATGCTCTGAGGCTCAAAGCCACCAACTGCTCTGCGGGAGGAAGATGGGCAGACTCTTCTCATGCAATACACAGCCTCTGACCACCTGCTGGAGCGTCAGCTGTGACTTAGTTCTGACTCAATAGCAATGAGTTTGAGATTTTGTTTTTTTGAATTGCCTACTAAAGAGCTGAATAGAAGATTTCAAAAGGCAGTGCGGAAAGACAAAGTAAAGTATAACAATGAAATGTGCAAGGAGCTGGAGTCAGAAAATCCAAAGGGCTGAACTTGCTAAGCATTCTTAAGCTCAAGGAGCTGAAGAACAAATTCAAACCTCACGTTGCAATAATTAAGGATGCTTTGGGCAGAATATTAAATAATCCAGGGAGTCTTAAAAGAAGATGCAAAGAGTATACAGAGTCATTATACTGAAAGGAATTGGCAGACACAGTAGAATGATGATGTGAAGAAGTCGTGAAGAAAGAAGTTCAAGCTGCTTTGAAGGAATTGGAAAAAAATAAGGCCCCAGGAATTGATGGTATACCAATTGATGTATTTCAACTAACAGATGCTGCCCTATATGTGCTCACCAAGTTGTGTCAAGATATCTGAAGACAACCACTTGGCCGACTGACTGGAAGAGATCTATATTGTTCCCATTACAAAGGAAGGTGATCTGACAGAGTGTGGAAATTATTGAACAATATCATTAATATCACATGCATACAAGATTCTGCTGAAGATTATCCAAAAATGACTGGAACAGCACATCAACAGAGAACCAGAAGTGCAGGCTATGTTAGAAGGGGTCGTGGTAGTAGGATATTGTAGCTAATGTTAGATGGATCTTGACTGAAAGTGGGGAGTACCAGGGGAATGTCTGTCTGTGTTTCATTGATTATGCAAAAGCCTTTGACTGTGTGGATCACAACAAATTGTGGCTGACTCTAAGAGGAATGGGAATCCCAGAACACTTGATCATGCTAATGTGAAACCTATACTTGCACCAGGAGGCAGTCGTGTCTTGTCTCTATACTTTTTCAATCTATATGCAGAACAGATTATCCAGGAGGCTGGGCTGTATGAGGAGAAATGTGGCACCAGGATAGAGGAAGACTTATCAACGTTATGTGTTATGCAGATGACACATCCCTGCCTGCTGAAACTGAGGAGGACCAGAAGCATTTGCTGCAGAAACTCAAGGACTGCAGCCTTCAATAAGGATTGTGGTACAATATCAAGAAAACAAAGATTCTCACCACTGGGACAATTGGCAGCATCATGATGGATGGTGAAAATAGACTTTTAACAGTTTATTTTGCTTGGTTCCACAGTCAACACTCTTGGCACCAGCAACCAGAAAAAGCAAAAGACGTGTTGTAATGGGAAAGTCTGCGGTTAGAGACTTCTCCAAAGTACTGAAGAACAATGATTTCACTCTGGCGACTAAGGTGCACCTGGTATAGGCCATGGTCTTTGCAATCACTTGCTGTGTGTCAGAGAACTGGACAAGGCTAGGGAGATTAGAAGAATTGATGCCTTTGAGCTGTGGTGTTGGAGAAGTATTGAATATACCATGGACTGCTAAGAGAATGAACAGATTTGTCCCGGAGAGGGTGAAACTAGGCTGCTCATTGGAGGCAACGATTCTGAAGGTTCATCTGGCCTACTTTGGACATGTTGCACAGGTTACCAGTCCTTGGAGAAGGATGTCATGCTTGGGAAGTTGGAGGAACAGCGCAGGAGAGGAAGGCTCTCTATGAGGTGGATTGATTAAGTGAGACTGGGGTAATTGGGATAGGTATGTTGGAGACAGTGAGGTTGTCACAGGATAGAGCAGTGATTAGGGTTGCTGTACATAGGGTTATTATGAGTCACAGGCAACTGAATGGCACATAACAACAACATTTATAGTTAATAAAGTGAACAAATATTAAAAAAATATGAGAATTCGTAAAACTATGAATTAGTTCCTAGACAAGTATTAGCTGTTACTTAGTGTTGACTTAATGTTGTTGTTGTGTTGTGTTGTTCCATCGAGTTGGAACTGACCCAAAGCTCTCTGCCAAGTTTTCAGAGATAGTTAATCTCATGGGAGGAGATTGCCCTGGTGGCTTCCAACTGTGTGCCTTCGGGATTGCAGCACAGCTTCTTGCCTCTAGGCCACCCGAGCTCCCTATATAGACTTAATAGATACTTATATTTGTTAAGTACTTACTTACATTAAATAAGTACTCACTTACTTTGGGCATGTGACCAGGAGATACCAATCCTTGGAGAAGGACATCGTGCTTGGAAGGGAGGACAAACAGTGCAGGAGAGGAAGACCCTGAATGTTATGGATTAATACAGTGTCTGGGGCCATCTGGGTTGATGTGTCACAATTAATGAGACTGGCTCAGGACAGGATAAGGTTCGGAGCTGCTGTACTTAGGGTCGCTTTATATCACAGGCGACTCAACAGCACATAACAATAACATACTATATTGGTTGTTTTTTATTTAAGCCTTCTGTTTAGAGTCAACAAGACCTCTGGGAGGGCCTTTGTATTTAAGGTTGGTTGTTATTGACAGGCTTGGAAGCAGGAGTGGCATCCACTTCCTAAATAACATGCCTCTTGAAACTTTATGAACTTTAATAAATGTTGATAGTTAATGAAAGGCTTCAGGCCTTTTGACTTAGGGTTGCTATGAGTCATGCTCGACTTGAAGGCAATCAACAACAACAAAACAACATATCCCTTAGAAAGTATATTGTTAATAGTAATTAAAATAAATTTCCTATTGCCCCAACATTCATATGCAGTTCAAGTTAAACTTACAAATTTTAGGTAAATGTATTCTTTTCAAATGGAAAAGAATTAATTACTGCTTTTTTGGGAGAATTATCTAACAAGAGTTTTCTCATTACCTAAATGAGAATTAGAATTCCCTCGGGAGCTCTGTTGGTCTAGTGAGTAAGGAATTGTGCTGCCAACCCATCGGCAGGTAGTTCAGATCCACCAGCTGTTCCACTAGTAGAATAGCAGTCTCTTCTCATGTTACTTATACCTCCTGAAAACCTGTTGGGAGGGTCAACCAACTGTGAGTCATTTTCAACTCAATGCCAATGAATTGAATTGAAATGGGAAAAAGATAGAAATAATACTAATCTTGGTTACACTTGTAGCTAGCCTGTGTCACAGACTTTTCTCCAAATTTCAGAGTAAATTTTAATTGCAAGTTTTTGTTGCAGGCTGTATACAACTTGCCATTGCCTGTTATTCAATTTAATCAGTAAAGCCTCTACATGTTTTATCCTTTAAAAAAATTAAAATAAATCTCATATTTCTGCTTCTAGAGGAATGCATATCTATTTAGCCCTACCACCTATTAAAGTCAGGGGAAAGTATGCAAACCACTATTTTTGGATTTTGGGCAAAAGTTAGTACAAGAAAAGAAAGAAATGTAAAATGAACCTTTGGTTATGTTAACATTTCTCCTGGAGACATTTCGCCGCCTAGACTGATGCCACCTACACTGATAGTCTACTTTTTTTTTTTTGTGATAGTCTACTTTTGATATCTGCTTTTGATATACTGTTGTTTGGTGCCATCGAATCAAGTACAAGTCATAGTGACCCTGTGAACAATAAATTTGAACCCTGTCCTATCCTGTGCCATCTTTATCATCCCTGACACACTTAAGCCCATATTCAGAATTGAAAGTTAATAGTAATTAATTGTACACTATCCCTAGTTTGCATTTCAGATCAATACTTCCTTGCTCAAAAAGTTAATTTCAACTTAAAATAAAACTCTTAATTTCAAGTGGTTTTTTTTACTATTTTGAGATAGTTTTTTTCCTTATTTTTGAAAACATGTAAACAATTTTTGAAACCTTTTAAACTGTACTATCCTAAAGAAATTTAATATTCTTGTATGCTTATTAAATTAGTTATTGTTACATCATTTAGGAACTTTCTAATTCGTATCTTACTTGTGCAATAGGTAACTCAGCTAACTGAGAAGCTGAAGAATCAGTCAGAAAGTCATAAACAAGCCCAAGAAGATTTACATGACCAGGTGCAGGAACAGAAGGCCCATCTGAGGGCCGCACAAGACCGTGTCCTTTCCCTCGAAACCAGTGTCAATGAATTAAGTAGCCAATTAAATGAAAGTAAAGAAAAGGTCTCCCAGCTCGACATACAGGTAATATTGAACTATGCTAGTTAATTTGAAGCAAATAAATAAAGCATCATTTTTAGCTCATAAAATGCTCTCTTTTTTGCCTTACTTATTAATATCATTAAATTCAGAGTAGTCATTAGATAAACGTGATATCTTCACAGTTTATTTAGGTTTCCTGTTTGCTTCTATTTCACTTCTGACAAGCTATGCTTTCTGAATCACGTGAATATTTTTACTTTGCTTTGAATCAATCAAGTTTTTGTTACAGATTTTAACACCAAAATCAGTATACTATTGCAGTGTTAAAGTCTCTGTTATTTAACTTTGATTTTTTAAAAAATTTTTCTTTAAAGGTTTGATCTAAAAACCAATCTTTATATGGTATTATTATGTATATCTGTTCTTTGAGAGTCAGTTAGCCAATCAAAGTAGGAATTCAGAAATAATTCTTTTGCTCTTCTCATTGTTGACTTCTTTTCTATATTATAGTAGAGAGAGTTGTGTAATATTTCTAAATTTTCATTATCTTTATTTTAAGATAATTAGAAATAAGAAATAAAATGAAGTATACTTAATAGACCATGAAGAGAGTCCACATTTCATTTTTGATACTTATTTGATGAGTCATATAATATATTGTTGTGTGCTGTCAAGTTGGAACCAACCTGTAGCTGATACTCCAGAGGATTTTCAGAGGTAGTAAACTGCATGGGAGGAGATTTCTCATCCTTATTCCACAGAGCAACTGGTGGACTCGAACAGTGGGATTTTGGGATTACAGTACAGTGTCTAAGCAATATGATGTGTAGCTGTCCAAATGAAGAAAGGAAAGAGAGAGGTAGAGGAGAGAGAACTAGAGGAGAAGGACTAGGGAGGAGGGAATATGGTATGAATGAATTGATTAACAAATCTTAGATTTTTTCCCCTTTTTTCTATTGCAGAAGTCTTTTCTTTACAAAATAACACACACAACTACTATTCTTCTGAAACTTATTTTTATAATTAGGTCTGCCAGTTTTCCATACTATCATTGCTTTCTTTACCATATTGGCTCTAAAGTTTTCTTTGCCTCTGTTGTTGTTATGTGCTGTTAAGTTGACTACAACACATAACGATCCTATAAACAATGGATCTGAAGCCTGTTCTGTCCTGTGCTGCCCTCACCATCTCTGATACACTTGAGCCCAGTGTTACAGTCACTGTGTCTATCTATCTTATTAAGGGTCTTCCTCTCTTATGCTCACCCTCCATCTTCCCATGCAAATGACTTTCCCAGGACTGGCCCCTCGCAGCAAAATGCCCAAAGTATGTGAGCAAAGCCTTATTAGTTCTTAAAAAAGAGTTCTTAAAAACATTTTGAAGGTATTTTTCAGTTTTTTGAGACTTTTAAAAAAATTCTTTAACTTCTTTATGAACTAGAGTTTTAAAAGTAGAGTATATCATTTTACTTGTCTTCTGAGCTCCAGAAATCTGATAACCACTTCTAATGATATTAAGAAAAGAATGTTAACCAGAAATAATTTGGCTGTGACTCTCCTTTTATTGTATGAAACAAAGATTCCTCAGGTAATATTTTTCCTGCAGTGCACCATTATGTATATAAATGTGATTTTAAATTATTTTATAGTTTTAATTTCTGTAACATGCCTTCTCATCTGTACTTTCAAGATAGTTTCTAATATGCATGATCATGACAGCATCATGACATTGTTGTTATTCTTTTTTTGTTTTATTAATTTTAATCAACATTTACAGAGATTTTGGATTTCCATTCTTTCATTGCTGCACTTCTCTCCCCACCCAGAAGATATTGTTGTTATTCTTAAGTGCCAGAGTCAACTATGTGTCATAATAAACCTAAGAACAGCAGATATGAATCTTGCCCTATCCTATGCTATTCTTACCATCTCTGATATGTTGCAGCCCATTGTTACTCACCATGTCAACCCATCTTGTTGGCTATCTTCCTCTCTTTCTCTCACCCTCCACTTTGAGCAATGTTTTCCAAGGACTAGTCCCTCCGGACAACATGCCTAAATTATATGAGATGCAATTTCACCATCTTGCTCTTTGAGGAGCACCCTAGTTTCACTTCCTTCAAGAAAGACTTGTTCTTTTGATACTCCATGAGATACTCAGTACTCTTCCCTAAAGCCACCATTCAAACACATCAGTTCTTCTTCTGTCATCCTTATTTACTGTTGAACTTTCAGATGTCTAGAAAGTAGTTGAAAAGGCCATATTCCTTAGTCCTTACCATTGCTTTCTAGCACTTTGGAGAAGTTCTTGACAACAGATTTCCCTCAATGTACATTTAATTACAATATTTTTCTTCTTAAGCTTCCTTTTGAAATTGTAAAGTATACCTTCCTTTTCTTAGCATGTGGGTATTTCAGTGTTTTTGTGTTCTTTTAAAATATCTTTTCATCATTTAGGCAAATCTTACTAGCAGTCTTTTTCCAAACCCGTTCCTGTTTGGAAGATTTTTCACAATTTTTAAATTGTCTAAATCGTTATGTTTTCACCAAAGCATGTTGTTTTAAAATTAGTAGTAAAAGCAGCAGTGTTTAAGCAAGAAGAAATCAAACACTAAATATGAAGTAAATAAGTTATATATTTTTTAATTGCAGATTAAAGCAAAAACAGAATTATTACTGTCAGCAGAAGCAGCAAAAACTGCTCAAAGAGCAGATCTCCAGAATCATTTGGATACAGCCCAAAATGCTTTACAAGATAAACAGCAGGTGAGTAACCTGGTACAATATCGTGTCAGAATCTAAGAGTTTGGTTTTTATATTAATCTCAAACATGTAAATATGATACTCAATTTTGTATCATTTTGCAGTAGATTTCATTATGCTCATTGTTTCCTCCCTGGTTCAGAATTACTGATTAGCTGAGGTAGGAACTAGGCAAATGAAAATTAACAGTTATTTTTAAAATTTGGTACAGCTCATCTTGTGTTCATAACAAAAGAGCAACTGTGATTGACCTTCTTGTAATTGCATTTCTTCTCTAGCTTAGACCTGGGTGAAATGTGAAATGGAAACATTTACTCCTAGTTATTGCCTCATCATGAGAACAATGATTGGAGCAAGAGTGAGAAAGAACCACGGGCTTGATTTTAGTAGATAGGCTGGGCCATGACCCAGGCATACGTGCCCCGCGGGAGGAAGAAAAGAGACTGTGTATTCCATCTCCAGTTTAGGAGTTAATCTCCTTTATTGATAGAGGAGAATAAATGAATAGCTAGAGAAATACAGATTTTACCTCAAAACTTTTGACAGAATAGGTGTTTCCTATTTTAAGTCATGGCTAAATGCTAGTAGATATTCTTTACCTTCATCAGCCAGAAATTTAAAAAATCTCTTTATTATATTAAAAGAAAGAATGATTATTGCTTCAGATTTTTTAAAAGAAATACCATAGTATATCAAATTTAAAAAACACTAAATTTTGATTTGCAGACTTTTAGATATTTGTAATAAAGGACTGATGCTATTGTAAGTAAAATAACATTTCTAATGGTCTGCAGTTCAGATCAGAGAGACTTCAAGATATTTTTTTCGTACTTCTACTTACTTGAGATTTTGAACCACATGGAAAAGAATATTTTTGAGAGTGCATGAGTGAGCATCAGAAAAATCAGTAATCATTAGTGAACTTTAAATAATTTTGTTTTGTGTGACACACTGACTGCAAACACTAAAGATAATGTTCCAGATTTGCAGAATGTATGAACACTAAGTAATTCATTTCACTAACTTTCTAATGAGTATTTAAAACATAGCTGTGTAATAAACCATTAACTTCAAAACCTTGATTTTTCTATGCTTTGCATTATTACCAATCTAGTTTTTATTTAATGCATTTGGAATCACACTATATATATTAAGGACATCTTGAAAGTATTTTCTAAGTGTAGAATAAGTCTGAAATTACAAGAAAAAATTTCAAAAATATCACTAAAAGTTGAAAACTTACCTGTTGACACATTATTAGCATAATTTAAGGCAAATAGCAAAAGAATATTTTCTGAAGTTTGTCAGATGAAACGTTATTATATATGACATTTAAAACAATTTCACATTAGGAAAATGTAATCCCAAGAGAACTATAAAGGAGCTCTGGTGGCTTTGTGGTGAGGCGTTGCACTGCCACCCCAGAGGCATGTGGTTCAAGTCCACCAGCTTCTCCACAGGAGAAATATAGACAGTTTCCTTCTGTGATTAACTACCTCTGAAAATTCTCTCACTACCTCTGAAAACCCACTGGAGGGTGAATTATGGGTCAGTGTTAACTTGACAGCACATAACAAAAAAAAACTCCAGCAATACCACGAAAAGAACTGCGAGTGTTCAAAACTATATTAAGAAATGTTGCTGTTCCATAAGAATCAGTTGTAAATGAAAACAGTCATCTGATACATTTTCATTAGAGAGGGTTGGAGAGAATGTGGCAGGAAAAAGTCCCTTCCATGCATTAGTCATAGTATAAATTAGTTCAGCCTTTTGGTGGGGCAGCTGTGTAGTAATATATCTCAATATCTTAGATTTTGTAATTTTTTAGGTTATTTTCTGTATTTTTAATATTAAAAGTATATTAAGACATTCACACCATGGTGAAAAGATATATGGTTCAAATCCACCACATACTTTGTGGGAGAAACATGGGCGTTCAATTCCTGAGCAATTTACTGCCTATGATAACTCACTGAAATGTCTGCTGTGAATTGGTTATCACTCAGTGGTCAACAACAGCCCATAGCTTTGAGTATGCTGTTTATATCTCTGCTAATGAATACTTGAAATGTAGTAATAATCGATGCCTTTCATATAGAAGATTTGATTAAAAAATGAACTGTATCCATGAAATGGAATTTCCTACAATCATCTGGTTTCTTCTTATTGCCATCACGTTGGGCCCCTCTAGTGGGTTTTCAAGAGACTGTAAAAAAAGGAAATTGCTCATTTCCTTGCAGAGCTCCTGGTAGATTTGAACCACCAAAGAGGTGCTGTCTTTGGGTTAGCAGTGCAACTCCCTACACAGAATGCACCATCAGAGGTCCCTATAGTGTTAAAGAAAATGTGAAAGCTTCAGATGCTTTGTTACAACAAAGCATGTTACAATGAATCTATGAAATGAGATCCCATTTCATTTTAGAAGATCAAAAAGAAAAAAATGTTAACATATTGAAAAGACTAGGAGTTATCCATGCATTAAGAATGGTTGGTTTGTTTGTTGATATACTGTAGGCTCTATGAGCCCAGTGAACTCACTGCTCACCAGTTAAAATTGACTCATAGCTGACTCTCTAGCAGGGTTTCTGAGAGTGTAAATCACATGGGAGGAGAATGCCTATTTTTCTCAACCTCAGAGCACCTGGTGCATTCAAACTGCCTAAATTTAGTCTTTCTGTACAGCTGGATGCTCAAAATGAAATATCATAGATCACTGTGGTATTTATTATTAAGATATTTTTTAAAATTATGTCTTAAACACTGAAAGCTTTTAGTTATCATGTAAGAATATTATTTTCTTGATAGCCAGTTTACTGTACTATTATATATTTTGGCTCCTACTGTACTTACTATTCCTTAGAAAAATCTTGAAAAGTTATTAAATTTTTGTTCTAATAAACTTTACAAGACTTCCATTCAGGTACTTTCTTTTATGTTACTGTTGTATGCCATGGTATTGTTTCCAACTCAGAGTGACTGTCTATGACAGAGTAAAGCTGCTTCATAGGAATTCCTAGGCTGTAATCTTCACAAGAACAGACACCACCAGCATGTAACCATCATGCCACCAGAGCCCACCTTTGTTTAATATGAGTGCGTGAATATAACCTCTGAGGAATTACGTGATATTTCTGCTGAAATCTTACCTCAAATGATTTCTTAAGTAAAATCAGAGTTTACAATATCATTCTGAATATTTGACTATTACAATTAAATAAACCTTACCAGAGTTTTCTTCAATTATTTTCTTCTATAGGAGCTAAATAAAATCACTACTCAATTGGATCAAACTACTGCAAAGTTGCAGGAGAAACAAGAACAATGCAGTCAGTTGGAAAGTCATCTTAAAGAATATAAAGAGAAGTATTTCTCTTTAGAACAGAAAACTGAAGAGCTAGAAGGTCAAATTAAGGTTTGTTTTTAAAAAACATTGTAACTTGTCCTAATTTTCTACTGTTGTAGGAACAAAAACTGGTGGCCTAGATGGAATCAGAGATTTTTTTTTTTCTTCCAAATTTTTATTTTGCTGTTCTTGAGAATATACACAACAAAAAAATACACCAGCTGTTTCTGCATGTGCAGCATTATGTTGTGGTTTAAATTAATGTTATTTCTTTTTTTTTTTAACTGTTCCTTTTTTTTTTTAATTTTTATTTTATTATTTTTGTGTGAGTGTACTGTCAAATCAGATCTGACTGGTACAGGAGGAGATTGTCCCTCCTTCCCCGGCAGAGCATCTGGTGGATTTGAACCTCTGGGATTGTAGTTGCTGCTCCTTACCACTAGGCCACCAGAGCTCCCCTTAATGTTATTTCTTTAATGGCTTTTCACGTTGAGGCATTTGTATATCTTTTTTTTTAAATTATTAAATTTTATTAATTTTAATGAACATTTACAGAGATTTTGGGTTTTCATTCATTCATTGTTGCACTATTTTCTCTACCCTCCTTCCTAGTTTGTTCTTCTTCCCCTCCCCGAAAGTCTGTTTTACTTGTCCATTTGCCACAGTGCTTGTCAAAGCCAGTTCTGATTAATCTCCTTTGTCAGTGTGTCCTTTACCATTCCCTATCTCTCCTCCCTGAGAGAGACTTCACCCTGATTCATAAGGAAAAGGGGATGGTGTATTCTCTTAACTACTTCCTGCTGGGGGACGCTGTGGATTTCAGGGTGAAGATCTTCTCTCACTACTCTAAAGGGCCCCTTTGGCAATAGGAAACACATAGACTATTATGGAGATTGATTTTGAAATTTAGATGCACTGTTACCAATTGTGCTTAGCCGTACATGTTCATATCCTTGAAGATGTATCATAGAAGTGTTACAGCCGGCCTTTCTCCTCCTGCCGAATTAGAGATTTTTAATGAACAAAAGATTTAGGATGCAATTATGACATAAAATTAGATTACTTCTCATTTTTTATGTCTTATTTTTGTAGTTGATCCTTACTTTTTTTACATCTTCATTAATGAGTGGCTTTTACAAATCAGAGTTAGTATATATTCTATTTCCATTATGTTGTGTAACTGTTTCAGAAAGTCAATGTCTTAGGGATCTATGCTATAATTACCGGGAACTTAGCCACATTATTAGCTAAGTTTTTTGTTGTGTTGGGGTTTTTTTCTCCTTTTCATCATTTGCGAAGTGAAAGTGTCTTCTGTTTCCTTCATTCTTCCACCTCCTTATCTCCTTAAGATATAATATACTTCTTACTTTTATTTTGCTTCTCATTAAGTAATACAGTTAGAACATTATAACTCTTTTTTCCCCCAAGAAATGAATAGACCTTTATTGCGTGGTCTGAGAGGGATGTCATGTGACCTCAAGGAGAAGATCAAAATGGTGCAAGGGCAGACAAGGACAGTTCCTTTTTATAGGGATTTTAGGGAGAACTAGGGAAGATGCTAATTTGCTCAGAATGTGGGGTGGGGGTCCTGTTAATTAACTTGAATGTGGGCTTTTGTGATCAGGCCCAGAGCCTTATCAGGATCAGGTCTCTGATCCTTTAGCCTTAGACATTATCAGATTTTTCTTCAAGGAATGATCAGATCTGGGGACAACTCTGACTTTTTTCCTCCATTCCAAACCCTATAAGGTAGGAAACAGGGACTACATACTCCACAACTACCAACAAACAGAATTTACCTAAACATCATGCCAACCTATCCCATATACTGAACTCTCACCCAGCCTAACTTCACCAAACCTAACCCAAACTCATCTGCCTTCTCTTACTTCCTGCTGAACTGGGGTGACAGTGGGAGGCTGGTGTTGGTTTCCTATAAGGTCTGAAGGAGCAGCATCGTTTTCACATGCTTTGGGACAGTTGCTTGGGAGATGGCACTGAGGTGGTCTACTAAAAATTTCTGAAAGATTTCTAAAACAGGGAGCAAGAGTTAAAAGGAAAAGGATGACTAGAAATGAAGTTAGGATGGGGAGTAGCCAAGAGTGAATTCCTAGTTGCCATTCGGTCCTGATTGTCTATTTAGGGCATTAGCTTTGTCTTTTAATTTTTTTTTTTTATTCCTTTTCTAACTACTCCTGATTTATTGGTATTAGAAATAACAGTTTCTCCCAGAAACAAATAGAGACTACTTTATTCCATAGTTAACAGATTAAGTCTCCTTTTCTGTACTACAGTTGCCATGAGGGAATCAATTTGCGTTTGGACTGTAATAAGCTGAGTTGCAGTATCATCTAGTGGCTCTTGGAGCGCTATTGAGTGATGCTGGAATTTTTCTAGGGAGATGTCTAGGTCTGCAGTGTTCGTGGTAGCTCCTGTTACCATTTCCAGGTTGGATACTAAAGGGAGGAGTACTATCATGGTTGGTTGTGTTTGTGGCGCTGGGGTAGAGGGATAGGTATTAATTAGTTGGGAGTTGGTTTGTTCAGCGTGCTGGAGTAGACGCTGTGTCTGCAGGCAAAGAAGAGCCTACTTATTGCTTTCAGGCATCTTTTGAAGTTGACTCTGAAGAGAAGCTGAACCTGTTCTGTGTTGACTTCTGTTTGTATGTGCTGAAAGAGGTAGCAGAATACTTTTTTAGTTGGGTGATTTAGAAAGAGATGAACTGGGTGGGCGGGGAGAAAAGTGCAACAATGAATGAATGGAAATCCAAAGTCTCTCTAAATGTTCATTAAAATTAATAATAATAAAAAAAGAAAGAGATGGACTGATGGGGAAGTTTGTAATAGAAATCAGTGCTAATTTTGATATTATGGGGAGTTTATATTATGTAATAGAAGGGAGAGATCTGGGCTTTTTCCTGAGTAGAATGCAGAATGAGTTTGGATTAGGTTTGGTGATGTTAAACTGGGTAAGAGTTCAACATAAGTTGGGATGATGTAAGCTCTCCTTAGGTTTTGGTTTTTGGTAGTTGTGGAGTATAAGTTGATGAGAAAGGGGGAAGGGATTTGGATAAGAACTTTGCAGGAAGGGGAATTTCTCAAGGAGGAAAATGTTGTCAGGACAGACATAGAGGATGAGGGGAAGGGGTGGTTTGCATGTGATCTAGGACAATAGGCCTGATGATGGAGACTTGAGGAGGGGCTAGAGCTTTGTTTTAATTATATTTGAAGAATGTTTTTGAGTTAAATCTCTGTACACTGGAATTGTTTTTCTGGAGTTACTATTTTTTAGTATTTTAAGTGCACTTATGCCAGATTTAAACATGTTATGGCGACTACTGGTCTGTGTAACTGTTGTGGGGTTGTTTTTTTTTTAACGTTTACATAAAGTTTATGACATGCTTTAAAAGAGAACTTCTGTATGAGTTTGAAGAACAGATATCATATGCTGACAATTTGGATATTTTTTGAAGAACTACTTTGATATACAACAGGATACTTCCCATAAAGAAGTAATCAGCAGTGGGATCATTTTATTAGACTATTAGAAAAACTTAGCTCAAATCTTTTTAAATTTGATTCATTTTCTTATATAAACATTTTACTGTTTATCATTCTAACAACATTCACTATCTTACACTATTACAGTGTCCACAATTATCACAATTTTTCTTTGCTTTCAATTTCTGATGGAATCAGACTTACTACTTTAAAACAAAACTACACTGTTCTCTTTCTGAAAGAACTTAGTACTACTCTTACACTGTAACTATAGATATTGACTGATTCTTAATGTTTCTGGGTTAATTTACATAAAAGCAAATAAAGAATGATAGTGAGAGTGGAGAGAAATAGTAAAGAATATATTGTTTAATTCTGAAGCGTGTTAAACTTTGGGGTATTTGGGAATTAGAGTATAGAGATTGGGTACAACTGAATGTAGAAGTATACTTTTATTGATAGGTCTTGAGTTTTGAATTAATGTTTATTTATAATTTGGCTTCTGGGCTAGTAAGATGGGAGTGTTAGAAGGAGATGTTATATTCGTACAAAGGAATACTGTGCAGTACTGAAAAACAAAGAACTACACAACATGCAGGACCCTTGGAGGACATTATGCTGAGTGGAATAGTTACGAAAGGACAAATATTACATAGCACTACTGCTATAAATCAGGTCTGACATGGAGGCTTGAAAGGAGGATTTGAGTGGATAGATAGTGAGCATTACATTGGAACAGAGAAAGGAAAGACCTGATTAAAAGGAATATATGATTAGGCATTATATGTATGACAACAGCCCACAGTTAAAGGTACATCATTGCAAAGAAGACTGGGCTGGAGGGGCAAGGGGGCAGGTAGTTGTCCAACAATGAATGAATGTGTTTAAAAATGTGAACTGGGGAAGAGAGGGAGAAGGGGTAAAGTGTACAACAGTAAATGGGTGAAAAATCTAACTTTTCTGTAAATGTTAGTTAAAATCACAATTAAAATAAAATTTTAAAAAATAAGGGGAAGATATCTCAAAGATTATTATTATTTCTTTTAATGTCTTAATATTGGCTATATACTTTTTAACTCTAGGGGTATATTGAGGCTTACTGACATTGAGTTTGATGGGGTTTTTTAATACCATCAGAAGCATTGGAACTTTAGCATTTTAATATGGCAGATGTAGGTGGGCTGTTTTGTGTGTGTGTGTAAAAATATGATGTGTATGTGAGTACTAATGATAAGGACTAGATAAGTATAATTGCATAAATATTTATGTTTTATATTTACTCTAAGTTTATTTTCTTATTTAGTTCATTTTTAAGAAGTAAACATTTAGTGACAGCCTATTATGTGTAAAGTTTCTTCTAAGTCCCCTAAACATTCTAAGTTAAACAGTTCTTGTTACTCATTAATGGTTTCAGAATGTTTCTATTGTAACTCAAATTTTTTATGTCTATGTTTGTATTGTCATTATCAATTTACAAATGCATTAAAATGCTACAGAGTGGACTAGTATATAGATACTGCTAACATTAAAATAGCTTCCATAATATAATTCCTTTCGTAGAAGCTGGAAGCTGATATTGTTGAACTTAAAGCAAGCAAGGAGCAAACTATGCAGGATCTACAGCAGCAAAGACGGCTGAATGCAGATTTAGAGCTCAGAGCCACAGAATTGAGTAAACAACTTGAAATGGAGAAAGAAATGTAAGCTAACCTACTTCTCTTCTAAAGAGACATATTCTAAATGATTAAAATTCCCCATAATACTTTAATTTTGTTATCTGAGTGCTTAAATATTTTATAAAATGTGTATGCCATGTTGGTTTATAAACTAATGTTAATGTGAATGAAAAATAGTCATCATAATATGGTTAATGCTACCCTTCAGTACAAAGAACTGAAAAGTTGGTTTTATAAAATGTGGGTCATCTAGTCTTTTTTTGAACAATTATATGATAACCATATCATTTTATTTGTGAATGAGACACTTTTACTTCTGCTTTTACCATCTGTAAGGCTTTTATGTCTTTCTATACATATTGGTGGCTGAGATCTCCAGTAGACTTTTTGATACAGGTCCTAACAGCAGACATTCTGTATTGTTCCCAGTTACTAGGACAAGGGACTTCTACTCAAACTTCTACTGTTTGAGTTTCATTGTAGGCCTATCCTAGATCCCCTTTATGAGATTTTCTGATTGAGGACTTTTTAAAAAAAAAAAACAACACACCTATTTGGCTTTCCCCCACACCCTTAATCATAACTAGATATTAATGTTTATCAACTTTCTTCCATCTATTGATATGACAGTAGTATCTAGTGATATGGCAGGGTGTACTCTATTGTATTCTGTTAATCTGATGAGTTGTATTGATTGATTGATTTTCAAGTATTAAACCAATCTCACTTCCCTAAGATGAGTTCCGTTTGGTTCTGGCTTATTCTTGTCATATGTTACTGGATTTGATAATACTTTAATAGTAAAGCATTCATAAGAACTATTGACTTTTAATATTTTTAAATATCCATGTTATAGGATTATGCTGAATTTAGAAAGGAATTAATGGATTTTCATAATATTGATATTATTTATTTCTTAAATGTTTGACAGTTTTGACCAGTGAATCATATAGGCATAGAATTCTCTTTCTGATTTATCTCTTGATTTTCAGTTCAGCTTATTGAATAGATATAAGGCTATTCAAAATTTCAATGTTTTTCTTGTTTCCGTTTTAGTAGTTTATATTTTTCAAGGACTTTCCTATTTCATCTAGACTTCACATTTCCTTGCATTATTTTGTTTGTAACATTGTTATGCATATATGGGAGTTTAGGATCTCTTTTATTCATAATGTGACATTTCCCTTTTTTTCTGATCTAATTACAAATTTATTCATCAGTTTCAAAAAATGATTTATCTATTCCTTATTTTCTTTCTTCCCATCTCCCCCCCCCCCTTTTATAATCTTCCTTAGGCTTACTTTGAGTTTAGTTTGTTCTTTTTATACCCTATTAATGTGAAGGGTTCTCTGTGGGTGTTCCACATTTTTTAGTGTCTATTCATTTTTCTGATTCACCTTTCTTGTATGCTGCTTTTCCATTTTGATACTTTAGGGGACATGAGTATTTAAAATGAATTATTCTCATAAAAATCAGTATATTATTACAGTTTTTCAATAGGTGCAAGAAAAGATCTTGATAAGTACATTTATTACCATCCTGTGGCCTAGTGGTAAGAAATTGCACTGGCAACCAAAAAGTATATAATTTGAGTTTACCAGTGGAAGAAAGTGGACAGTCTTTCCCTGAATGATTAACTGCCTCTGAAAACCCGCTGTGGGTTAGTTCCAAGTCAATAGAACACAACAACAAGAACAAGAGATGATGGTAGATTAGTATAGAAGGTATTGTTTTTGGTGGTGGTTGTGGTATTGATTGCTGTCGAGTAGAGCACAACTCATAGTGACTCTGTGAACAAAAGTCCTGATGCCTTTCTGTAACTATCATCATTTCTCCAAGTTCATAGAGTTTTCATAGGCATGTGGTTTAGGAAGTAGATGTCACTCCTGCTTCCAAACCTATCTTAAACTGGGAACTCCACCAAACACTGTCTACCTTGGGCAACCGTTATGGCATTTGTCAACCCAGCAGCACAATGTTCAGCATCACAGCAAACCCAGATTACCCCAGTACATCAAATTGACAGAAGAGTGATGTACAACGTAGAAGAATGTTCCTTCAAAATATAAAAACAGCAGTCTCACTTAGCAATGGTTAAGTGCCTTCAAGTCAAATATGACTCATAGTGACCCCATGAACAAGAGACCTGAATCTTGTTCTACAACTAACATCGTTTCTCTATGTTCATAGATTTTTCCAGAGGCATTTTGTTTAGGAAGTGGTTGCCACTCCTGCTTCCAAACTGGAATCAATCTGTGAGTTCCTCCAAACACTGTCCATGATGGGTAACCATTATGGTATTTGACACAACTATGGCAGTGTTCAGCATCACAGCAACAATTCCAGGTTACTTCAGTACAGCTACTAGAGCTCCCTGTATACTGTATTGTACACATCAAATGCGTGTTGTCAGAAGGGGCTCATTCCTGGGAAACTATCAGCATCTGCACAATTAATTGGACCAAGAGGCAGTCGTCAGAACAGAGCAAGGAAACACTGCATGGTTCAAAATTGGGAAGGGTGTACTCCAGGGTTGTGTCCTGTCTCCATATCTTTTCAACCTGTATTGCAGAACATATTATCTGGGAGGCTGGGCTCTATGAGGAGAAGTGTAACATCAGGATTGGTGGAAGATCTAGCAACAATCTGTGTTATGTAGATGATACAACCCTGCTTGCTGAAAGTAAGGAGGACCTAAAGCACTTGCTGCAGAGGGTCAAGGACTGCAGCTTTCAATATGGATTGAGGCTCAATATCAAGAAGACAAAGATTCTCACCACTGGACCAATTGGCAGCATCAGGATAGATGGTGAAGAGATTGAGATTGTTCACAGCTTTAGTCTCCTTGGCTCCACAGTCAACACTCTTGACACCAACAGCCAGGAAATTAAGAGATGTATTGTGATGGGAAAGTCTGCTGTTAGGGACCTCTCCAAAGTACTAAAGATACAGGCCATGGTCTTCGCAATCACTTGTTATGCATCAGAGAGTTGGACAATGACTAGAGATGATAGAAGGAGAATTGATGCCTTTGAGCTGTGGTGCTGGAGAAGAGTATTGAGGGTACCATGGACTGCTAAGAAAACAGATTCACCCTGGAGAGGTTTAAACTGGGCTGCTCCTGGAAGCAAGGATTCTGAGGCTTCGTCTGACATAGTTTGGTCATGTTGCAAGGAGAGACTGGTCCTTGGAGATGAACATCATGCTTGGGAGGGTGGAGGGCAGGCACAGGAGGGGAAGGCCCTCTCTGAGGTGGATTGATTCAGTGACTGGGGTATGCGGGATGGGTGTGTCAGAGACAGTGTGATTGGCACAGGACAGAGCAGAGTTTAGGGCTGTTGTACAAAGGCTCGCTATGAGTCGCAAGCAACTTGACAGCACATAACAACAACAATCACTTTTAAGCTAAAAAGGATGTTTTTTGGGTATTTTAGTTAGTGTATTTGTTTTTTACATATCCAATGTAGCCATCTAACTGCTGGTCTGTGAAATCTTTCGATAATTCTAAATTTGAAGCAGACTTTACCCAACCTCATTTTTATCTTTGAATCTTTCCAGAAGCTCTTTCATAGGTATTTAATTTATTGTAATTTTGATTGGTGAAATTCAATCTTACTCCAACCATGTAGATATCTTCAAAAGAGGGCTTATAGCGGATCACACTCAAGCAGACATTTTGTCTTTAAATGTCAGGTAGGTCCTTCTGTGTGAGTAGACTGACTTGACCTAGGTCAAGGCCCTTGACTTTTTAAGTGGGAAATGCAGAGGCTGTAAGCCTGAGAGAAGCACTCTTTGGGAAGATGAAATAAAACTCATCGTCATTTAAATGATTACGTTGTTTTATATACCCATGGCTTTCTTGGTTTTGGTATGTGATAATGCAAATTTTCTTGTTCTCACGTCCAGTATGTTGGGTTCTGATACTTTGAGTTAGAAGATGGAGAGGTATATTCTTTGCTTCAAATGACATTCCTTCTTACTAGTTAACGTTATGGTTTCTGGTGCCTAGATATTGAGGGAATACTTTAATATTATTTGCATATGGTCTACTGTGCTGTCTGGATCTCAGTAATCAATCCACACACAACTTCTGTGTTCACCCTCATTCTTTTCTGTTGAAAGGTCCCATTGACTGGAATGGTTCTTTTCACTTTTCACTCACTCGTTCAGTAATCTCTTGAGATTCCCACTTTATATTGGCCAGTAAAGACATAATTCATCCTTCAAGACCACGATATTTTTCTGCCTATTACTTCATGCAAGCATTTTTTCTTATTTCAGGGTTATTTGAAATATGTTGGGGTTTTTTCCATATGCACACTGTTATAAGTAGAGTATTATTTAAATATAATGATGAATTGTAGTGTTGTCCAAATTTTCTGTATTATAAAACTATTCCCTTATATTCTGTCAATTTCTGAGAAAGGGGTGCTAATATTTTTAACTATTGTTGTGTTTTTGTCATTTCTCCTTTTAGTTAATTTTAAAAAAAACACATCCCAAAACAAAAAGACATTTACTATTGCCTTTAACTCTATTTTGGCTTCTTAATTCACATAATCTTATGATTTTATAGTAATTTTTATGAAAAAGTGAGAATAGTAAGTAAACCTATTATGTCTAGGTTTAGATTACTTGACAGGAATTTTGGCCTTATTAAAGTGGTATTAATAATATTAATGTGATAACTTTTCTGTTCAGAGCTTGAAAAATCAGTGAAAAATAAAATACCTCATGACAGTACTTAATTCAGCATCTTTTCTAACTATTTTTTAGAAAGTAAGATCAAGTTTCTGGACTAAAAGTTAGAAAATTTCAAGGTATAAATATACTATGGTATTATATTAATATTTAATTTCACATATGTAACTAATACATCTTTTAATAACCTCCTTTTATAATGATTTTAAAGTACTTTAGGAATGGTATGTATTCTTTAAACATTATTACTTAGCATAAGGTTTTATTTTTGACATTAGAAAATGGTTTTTATTTTTTTCCTGCGTAATGTAGTTTTTAAAAAAATGGTAATAAATGGTTATATTTAACATTCCTGAAGCTCAGTCTTAATTTCTTAGTTCTTGCAACCTATTCAAGTTTAATAAACTTTTGCTAATAGACAAATAATAGCAAATCCCTTGCATTAATCCACTAAATTCTAACATGAATATTTTTCTTTAGTGTTTTAAAGTTTAAGACATGCCAAACAGATAATGTGTTTCTTGCAAGGAAAGCCGTCAAGTTCTCTTTCCCAGGGAAACCCAAAGACTAGATTCTTTAGGATACGTGGAAAGGACTTTCCTGGGTATTCAGGGGAGAGGCTCTGTATTATCATAATTTCCGTTAAGGATCTGTTCTAGTCAGCCAGATAACGTTAAGTCAGAATATTAGTTTTAGCCTTATACCTAACTTATTATTGATCTTGAGAAAAGTAATTTTTATATATTAAGTTGTAAGTTTAGATGCTCTAGCACATTTTTTAGTTTTTTGAAATGGCATTATTTTTATTTCTGGGTTATCAAAGAGCAATGAGGATTGATTCTTATCTTTAATGTAAAGTTAGAGATGTAAATTATGTGCACATTTTCTTAACAATAATTTCTTATATATTTAGTGTATCTGGTACAAAATTGGATCTACAGAAAAAATCTGAAGCCTTTGAAAATATTAAGCAAATGCTTACCAAGCAAGAAGAAGAAAAAGGAATCCTTAAACAAGAAATTGAAAAGTTAAATGAAGATACAAAGATGCAGCACACAGAATTGAATCATAAAATTCAGGCAGGAGCAACAGAACTACAAAAAGTGAAGATGGAGAAAGAAAATCTAATAACAGAACTGTCTACAACAAAGGAGAAGTTATCGAAAGTTTCTGATTCCTTGAAAGATTCCAAAAATGAACTTGAAAAGGAAAATCAAAAAGGGAAAGCTGCTCTGTTAGAATTGGTAAGTTGTTGTTTATGTTTACTTTCTCAGGAAGGAGTGATTCTTTTATTTAAACGTCTCTAGTTTTTCTAATTTACTGTTGACTTTTAATCCAACATTTAAATGACATAGCCCGAGATAATGACATACATAGACACATTCAACTAGCCATATATATATATATACACACACACACACACACACACACACTCACATATACACATGTATGTATGTATAGATAATTTTTAAAGACCAAGGGCATTTTCACTTGACCACAACAGTCTTTCATTATTACTGATATAATGCTATATGTAGGAGAGACTTCAATATGTTTCTCCACAGAGAATACTACTTGAAATAGTCACTTTTCTGCAGTGTTGTCAGAAAAACCAGAAAGGTCCTGTTAAAACACTTTTGTTCCTGTAAACTTTGTAATTCTCTATTTAATATTCTAAAGTTCTGGATAATATCATATCTTAGAGACAGTATAAAACATTTAAATGCTAGTGAAACATTTCTGGTCTCAGGATATTAAATAGGAATATTCTCAGAAATATTTTAACCCAGAGTAGTGCAGAGTGACAACAAAAGTAAAGCACTTTTGAGGTCAATATGAAGGTCAGTGAGAATAAACTATTCAGTAGTTTGAAATAAATGGGCATTAGAGCACATGACTTTTACGCTCCTTTCCATTTAGAGAAAACATCATCTGTATCTGCCCTCTCAAGTGTATGTGGTTTACAAATTTGTCTTGTTTTAATACTTTCTTCTTTTTATGATATTACTTCTGTCTTCTTAAAGTCTACTTGTCAATAGTATGACAAATTAATTAGTTACAGTTAAGTCTATGACATAAAAATGTGGTTTCCAAATTACTATAAAATATTTTGTGTGGAAATTGGTTGATGATCTACACTTCAACTTTCTAATTAAATGTTCAATTAATTTTTCTTTTTTTCAATAAATGATCATATCTACCTTATCTCTTATATGTTTCTAGTTTATTTCTTTGCATTAGTATTATTAAATATGTGTAAAAAATTCTTAAACTTACTATAAATATTTTCTGTTAATGTAGTTTCCATTTTTTAAAGGAAAAATCTTGCAAAGAGTTGAAACATCAACTTCAAGTACAGACAGAAAGCACAGTTAAAGAACAAACTGAACTGAAAAAGTCACTGGAAAAAGAGAAGGAGGTATGATTTTCTTTTTTCTATAACATAAACTATGGCTCATTACCATTCAGCCACTTCTACCACATACCAGCTCTAGGGGCCTAATGGGTGTGTTTCCAGTCTGAAGGTGCTTGGTCTGAATTCACCAGGTTCTCTACAAGAGGTGGGGGGCGGGGGGGGGGAAGAAAAAAGAGCCTTCTCCTTCTGTACAGTTTACACCCTCTGAAAACCTGTTATGAGTCAGTTCTGACTTGACACAAGCATGCAACAAACCGCAACCATTCTTCCATTCTTTAGGACAAAGTAAAGGGGTTCCATAGTTTTCCAAAGCTGTATATCTTTACAGAAATATGGTCTCCTCTTTCTATTGCTGATAGATTCAAACCACAAACCTTTTGCTTAGGAGTCAAGTACTTAAGTACGTGCACTGCTGTGGTTTCTTTTCCTTGTATTTGTAGTAAATAAACTAAACCAAAGTAACATTTCATCAAGTGAGTTCCAGCTCAGAGGAGCTTGTTAGAATTACCTACCCCATATGTTTTCTGTGGCTGTAAATCTTTGTGAGAACAATCTGCCTCATCTTTTTACACAGGAATGGTTCCTGGGTTTGAACTCCTAGCTTTTTTTTTTTAATTAACAGCCCAGTTTGTTGTTGTTTTTTTTTTATAATTAAAATAACTTTTTATTGTACATTTACTTACATATTTTCTGCTTCTGAGTAGAGCTAAACCAGAAGTATTACATTACTTTCAGCCATATTTCCATCAATTGAATTATAGCAGTGAAATGCAGGTCAATCACCCTAGACTTGCTTTCCAAAAACCTAAAACATTAACCTTTTCAATATGTCTAAATGGTGGAGCACAGATGTATCATTGGTTTTTAAAAAGTTTGCAACCAAAAAACAAACCAAACAATACAAGGGAAATAAGCAATTTTTTACATTTTTATAACCCAGAATCACAGACTTCTGATTAAGTAATACTATATAGCTAACTATAAACCAATCTTCATCCACACTATTCATGTATATATGTAAATATTTATTATTCAAACTTTTAACACTGAGAAACTGGTTCTCTCATAATTAGGCTTTTAAAAACTTCCTCTCACATCAAGAAAACAAAACATAGAAGCCCACAATGTTTCATAATCTTAAGATAACTTCTGTCTTCAACAGCCCAGTTTTTAACCAACTGTACCACCAGAGCTCATTTAAAGCTTATTTTGTTTTTATGTGCCGTCGAGTCATCTGTGACTTGTAGTGACCCTATGCACACAATAGCTTTGAACCCTGCCCTATCCTGAGCCAGTCTCACTGTTTCTGATACACCTAACCCCATTATTCCAGATATTGTGTCAATCCATCTCATCCAGGGTCTTCCTTAGTAAGACTTTTATAGTTTTCTTGCTGTTCTTGTGTGCCATTGCGTTGAAACCAATTCATAGCTGACTTTCTATTGGATTTTCAGAGGCTTTAAATTTCAGGGGAGGAGATTACTCACCTTTCTCCCACAACATTATATTGTTGTCAACCTAGAGTCAGAACCAACCCATTGCTGGCCTTTTAGTGGGTTTTCAGAGGCAGTTAATCACGTGAAAGGAGATTGCCCATAGAGTTTAAAACTATTCATGTTCTATGTACCATTAAACATATTTAAGGTAGGTTTTAATTAAAACCCCAAATAATTAAATATCATTAATAAATATAGAAAATGACATCCACTAAATGCAGAGTTAAAATGAGGTAGTTAATCTCAGGCAGCATTATTGAGGCGGGGGGAGGGGCTGGCAGATGTTGATAGACTTTCTAGTGGAATTACTTTTCCAGGATGCTAGCTCAAGCATATTCATATTACTAGTATACTTTATAATCATTATATAATAACAAATAAACATTTCTATAGTTAATACTTTTATTTTTCCCCAGCAGAAAACAGGCAAACAAGAAAATAAACAAATATATGAGTATAATACCTTCACTACCATTGAGTTAGTTCCAGTGATAGCAATTCATAGCCCTTCATAGCAGTCTGTTGGGCAGGCGAGGATGGCCTGCCAGGTGTCCAGAGCTGTAAATACTGGTGGAGGTCGACTGCTTTCTCTTCCTCCCATAGAGCAGTTGGGGGACGCCAGCTGCTACTCTTTTGGTTTGTGATTGAATCCTTTACCACAGTACCACCAGAGTGCCTCCAAAATGGGTATAATACGTGGTTGTGGGAAGGTTACAGTCCAGGCATGGACCTTTATAGACACCTGATTTCAAAAAGCAGCAAATTCCTATCTTGGCAAGTGCTGGATGGGATTGTCTTCTGGTTGGTAATTGAAGAAAGTCACTTGTGTCATAGATGCACGTACATGGAGAAAAGATTCAGAACCCAAGTGCTGAGTCAATATTGTTTAGATTTACATCAGGCTATGTTATCTGTTATCTGTTAACTAATCTCTTTTGCCTTGGTTTTAATTTTTTTTATTTTATTATTTTTTGTGCATGTACCATCAAATCAGGTCTGACTGGTACAGGAGGAAATTGTCCCTCCTTCTCTGGCAGAGCATCTGGTGGATTCGAACTGTGTACCTCTGGGATTGCACTGCAACTTCTTTTCACTAGGCCACCAGAGCTCCCCTTTTGCCTTGTTTTGGGCAGATAATCTCTCTGTACTTTAGTTTCCTTAGCAGTCAGTATATGGACTAATAATAAAAGTCTATGGACTAATAATAAAAGTCTATTCCTAGTTACTTTGAGAAATAAATGGGTTTGCATGTTTAAATGGGTTAGAACACTTTAACAAACTCAGTGCTCCCATGTTTCATGCTATTTAAAAAATCATCTGCCTTATTACACTGCCTTACTCTTACATTTCATAAAAGTAACTCCATGTGTCTTGAGGATAAGCTGAGGCATCCATATGTAGTGTTGAAGCTTTCTCAAAATAACTGACTGATTAAATGCTCAAACTAGAATATTAATGAAGTATGTGTGAAAACATGACTTTAACTAGAAGAACAGGAGCTAGGATTAACTACCTGGGCCACGAAGGAACCTTGGTGAGCAGAACTATATTCTGAGGTATTGCAGATAAATTCCAGATTTCTAAAGGCGATAACTGTTGTGCATATACTCTGGTGTAAACACAGATGCCAAATGTTGTTTGCCAAATACTATTTTTTTATCTTAATTAATATAAAGCTATTTTTTTCTGATTACCTGTGGCAAACAGGTCAGTAGCATCTTGAGATTATTCATTTAAAATAACAGAAATTCCACACTTTAGAGGTTGATGCTGATGTTATTACTTCCTGTGATAACAAGAAATAATCCAGTTTGTAGGCTTTGCTAAAATGTACATTTTTGAGTTAAAAAGGAAAGAGAGGATCAAGCATCTTAACATGCCTACAAAGGCAAATTCTGTTGGTTTGGAAAGCTTCATGAATGCTTCCCCAACCAATTCTCTTGTTTACCGCTGTTTATTACCTGTGGGAAGATCTTATTAGTTTCGAACTGCCTGGCGTGTAAACTGCACTGGCAGTAAACATTTGCTGAATGAATAAATGAATCCCAGGCGATTTTTATTTTCTTGTAGATGTCTCGCCAATTGAAGGTGGAGCTTGAGTCAATGCTAGGCCAAGTTGTACAAGCTCAAAATACTTTAAAACAAAAAGAAAAAGAAGAGCAACAACTTCAAGGCAACATAAATGAGCTAAAGCAATTGACTGAACAGAAGAGGAAGCAAATGGAAGCTCTTCAAGGCGAAATCAAGATTGCTGTTTCACAGAAGGTAATGATGTGATACTGATTTACTTTTTAAAATTTTTTTATGCTGGTTTATTTACAAAGTTCATATCCTTATTTTTCGATTTACTCTTTTTTTCTTTCATGATTTATGTGTTACTGGTTGTTTTAAGGGACAGTACAAAGACATTATGAACAACCTGTACACAATTCTTAATGCACGTACCAAAAATCTAAAAAGCCATGTAGTTCTAATTCTTTTCTAAATTCCAGTGACCTTCCAGCTTTAAATTTGGAGGAAAGTTTTCATAAAGAAGAAAATAAGTACCACTATCTTCAATTGTTGATAAACTGTCACAACATTAAGTCCCACTAATTCACAGTTTACTGTCACACACACTACACATTCAAATTTTCAACCGTTCACAGCACATAACAAAGTTATTAGGAAAACTGAAGTACCAAGACCAAAGATGTTACAGAGTCCACATAGTTCTGACAGGGAGAAGGCCATGAAAAGGAAGTGGTTATGTTTAACAAGAAATTTTGCTAAACAGTGTTCTAATTTGTGTATCTAGAAAACATGGAAAATAGACTTAATTTAAAATGTTCAAGTCATAAATGTATGACTATGACTCCAAATTGTCATTAAGTATACTCTGTATTATGGGATATAAAAACTGTCCCTTTTCCCCATGGAATGTTGCACTAACATCCAAAGACCCCCCCCCCAACAATTTTAACATCCCACATTTTCTGGTTGTACCAAAAAATAAACAACCAGCAAATGATCTCACCTCTTAAAAAAAGCATTTCTACTTTTTATAAGAGGAAAAATTTTACAGCCAAGTTTATAGAGTGACAAACACGAGTTGCACTGTAGAAAAGAAATGTTAAAAATATTTCAGAGTTTAAGTATATAAATCACTTGATTATATGATTAAATATCTGTCTGAATTTATTGTCAATGAGAATCCTATTTCCAGATTATTCTTATTTAAATTTCTATCACTAGCCATTTGACTTTTAGATAACCGTGAAACTGCTCTTTTGTAAAAGAACATATTACTAACACTGAAAATTAGTTAAGAATAAAAGAATAAACAGATGTATTTTGGAGAAAGTGCAGCTAGAGGACTCCTTAGCGGTAAAGTTGACAAACTTCTTCTCACATACTTAAGGCATATTGGTAGGAGACACCATTCCTCGGAAAGGGACATCATACCTGGAAAGGTGAGATGTACTCAAGGACTCCCAGCAACAGCAGCACTTTAAAATTGGGTGATAATTATGTAATATTTTTAATGTGTTGGACAATGTTAAAGATATTCTTAATACTGTATTATGTTGTTGTTATGTGCCATCTAGTTGGAACTGGTTCCCAGTTGACCTTCCAGTGGGTTTTTAGTAGTAGATTCAAGTCATGTGCCTTTGAATTGGCAGTCCCACTCTTTACCTCTAGACCTTCATTCTTATTAAGGGAAGATGATCAACAGTAAAGCTCCCAAATTGTGTATATTTTTTTAAAAAAACAGTACTGCCAGAGTCACTTAGTTAAAACGGTTTAAATACTTTTAGGGATCAAATGGTTTCCATTTTCAAATCTGTCCTGATATTTCTTAAAGAACTGTTTAAAAGGAATATATAATTAGGCATTATCTGTATGACAACAGTCCAGAATAAGAAGTGCATAGCAAAGTGAATTGGAGGGGGGCGGATAGGAGGAAGGGAAGAAATGATGCAGCAATGAATGGATATTTTTTTATAAGTGAACTGCGGGTGTAGAGAGGAAGATGTGTAACAATGAATGAATGAAAATCCAGCTTTTCTTGTAAACTTTCGTTAAAATCACAATATAAAAGAAAAAATTTGTCAAGATCAGGAGTTGATAAAAAATGGATTGTACTTAAAATATTTGAAAAAGGTGAGAGGGTTCCCTCACCTCTTGCCATGTGTCACAAATTAAATAATGCACACATGGCAAGAGGGGGAAAATCCCCTCTCACTATTGTGCCTAGTGCATCTTGAAAAGAGAACAAGTTGTTCGATATTTGGATATTTATATGGAACATAACAAAGTATGATTTAGACAGTGTCACTATGGTGAGATAGAGCAGGGTTCTGAGATTCATACTGTTGTTATGAATTGTAGTCGACTAGAGAGCACATAACAACGACACTGGTAGATTAAGCGTTGGTGATTTATGACAAATAGAAATAGGAAAAACAGGAATAATATTTAAATGGAAGTAAATGCATAGCTAGGCACACTTACATATTTAAAACACAAGGGCATATATATGTATGTGTTGTTGTTGTTATATGCCATCGAGTCGTTTGTGACTCATAGCGACCCTATGTACAACAGCCCTAAACCCTTCTCTATCCTGTGCCAATCGCACTGTCTCTGACACACCCATCCCAATTACCCCAGTCACTGAATCAATCCACCTCATAGAGGGTCTTCCCCTCCTGCACTGTCCCTCAACCCTCCCAAGCATGATGTCCCTCTCCAAGGACCTGTCTCTTTTTACGACATGTCCAAAGGATGTCAGACGAAGCCCCAGAATCCTTGCCTCCAAGGAGTAGCCTGCTTTTACCCTCTCCAGGATGAATCTGTTTGTTTTCTTGGCAGTTACATGTATATAAAAATATATAATAAATGTATATTTTTATATATGTATATATATTTAGGTGTATGTATTTCTGAAAACAGATGTTTGAGCCACTGATCAGAAATCTAGCATGTAAGCTATTAAATCAGTTGGCATTGCACCAACTTTATTTAAAATCTGTTATTTCAAATTCAAGATTTATAGAATGAATATGACTACTTACTTTCAAGCTACTTTTAATTTAATGAAATTGGGGGAAATATAAGGGAAATAAAATAAAACTTAAATAGATATCTAAGAAAAATGAGTACTTGGTGAAACTTTTGACAGTGATCAGAAGAGACTTTCTAACGGCAGTGGCAATTGTAACTAGGCCTTTGATGGTGATTATTATTTTTAAAAGTTCATAAAAGGGGAAAATGTGACATCTCCCAGGGAGAAATCAATATTAGTAAAGTTTGAAAGCGTTAAGAAATTATCAGAATAGAATATTAGCTATTGGAGTACATGGTAAGTATAAAAGTATAGAGATAGAAAACTAGAGCATGGGATGAAGCCAGATCACAGTGAATGTTATGTTCTTATTTCTATATCAATTTTAAGCATTAAAAAATGAAAGTTTTTGTAAGAAAGGAGAAATGTGATCAGCTTTGTTTTAGAGCAGAAACCCACTTTGTTATATAAATGACTACTCTTCCTCCATTCTCCTTTAGAAGGCTACTAAAGTGGTTCCCATTTTCCCATTTATTGGTTTCCAATTTGACTTCCATACCAGTAGGTTTAAGGAGCTCTGGTGTCTCAGTGTATCATTTTGCACTGCCAACTGCAACATGTGCGTTTTGAATCTGCCAGCTGTTCTGCTGTTATAAAGGTGTCTTTTCCTGTAAAGATTTACAACCTTGGAACCCAGTGGAGAGCCAGTGGGAGTTGCAGTTGATTACATGAGAGGGGTCTAGGGTTTCTTTGTTTCACTAACTTCATGCCACTCTTTGGGCATGTTATCAGGAAGGACTAGTGTTTGGAGGGGGAAGACATTATGCTGAGAAACATGAAAGATCAGAGAAAGAGAGATAGCCTTGCAACAAGATGGCACAGTGATTTAGAGAAGGTGAGAGTGTCACAGGATAGAGTAAGGGTCAGATCTGTTATTCAAGGGGTTATTATTAGCTGTAGTTGACTAGATGGCCCTTAACAACAACAACAATATATTTAAAGGAGTTCTGGTGATGATGATGTCCACATAGGGAGTTTTGTTTCTAACCCAAAGACAGAGACTCTCTAGTGTTCGAATTCACCAGCACTTCTGTGGGAGAAAGATGGGTAATCTCCTCCTGTGCAATTTATAGCTTCCAAAAATCAAAATAGGCTCTGAGTCAGTTCCTAGTAGGAAGCAGTTCATTTTAATGATAATAAATTTAATTAAAGATTGGTTTAATAGATCAGCACTTTGCAGCTAACTGACAGATCAGTCTTTGACTCACCAGTCACTCTATGGGAAGAAGATGGGGCAGTCTCCTTCCATAAAGACAATAGCGTTGGAAACCTTATTGGGCAGTTTCTCTTCCAGTCACTAAAATTTGAGTTTTTCTAAAAAGGAAGTTCTCATTATTTTTTTTTTACACTGATTTGATAATTCTCAGTTGATATTCTGTTCCAATCTTTTCTGGATCTTGGCTGAAAGCAGAAAGTACCGGAGGCATGTCTGTCTGTATTTCATTGATTATGCAGAGGCATTTGACTGTGTGGATTGCAACAAATTGTGGCTAACCGTGAGAAAAATGTGAATCCCAGAACACCCGATTGTGCTCATGTGAAATCTATACTTGGACCAGGAGACAGTTCTCACAACAGAGCAAGGAAG